GTTTTTACAATAACAAATCATGTACATAATAACTTCCTAACAGAAAAAAAAAAAAATAAAAAAAAATGTAAAAAAAAGGGAATGTTGTTGCCGGTATAACGGCAAATTTGAAGTTTTTTATATAAATTTATACATACATACATATAAAAATTTTAAAATAATAAATATATATGTATGGATGTATTAGTATATATACATATTTTACATAAATTTCATTATTTATACATATTATCTATTTACGGGTAATTTTGTGAAATATACGTTTGCAGGTATATATACATATACATATTATTATTATATATTGCAATTTATACACATCCTCTCATTAGTACCTATATAAGTAATAAATATCAATTGAATTCTATGTTTGTTTATATATATATGTATAAATTACTATATAGTTTTTGTTTTATTGCATATTTTTATATATATATACATTTCCATATAATTGAGAAAATTCGAACTTCTTTTACATTTTTCATTTATGTATTTCTATATCTTTATGTTTCTATAAATACTACATACATATATTATAATTTTTTATATAAGTCTGACTTCATATAATAAAAAAAAAGAGAAGAACACCATTAATATTTAACTTTGCGGTTCTTTACAATATATTCGAATGCGTGAAACTAAAAAACACTAAGTATCGATTTTTCCCAAAAAAAATAAAAAATAAAACAAAATATAGAAAAATTGTATACACAGAACTTTATAGCATACATGTGTATATATTTATGAATGTATATACGTATATGGGCGTATATGCAAGAATACTTTATAATAAGAAGGAGAAAAAAACAAAAAGTCATTGCAAAGTATTTTATCCTTGTCAACTTCGTATTTTTCTGTTCTCAAAATTATTATATCCTTAGAAAATAAAATAATGAAGCAAATAAAAAAAGTAAAATCTTTTTTTCTTTATTTTTACCATTTTTTTTTTTATTTATTTTACTTATGGTTTTATGCAGAAAAAATGTTTTTTTTTTTTAATACAGGAAATTTTATATTTCATTTTATTGCTGTTCGTCTTTTTCATATTTTAATTTCTAAATCAATAATTGCTCTATATTGAAATACATAAAAAAAAAAATAAAAATGTAAATAAATAAAAATATATAATAGTTAAATAATAAAAGGTTATGTACATTAACATAGGCATAGGTAGTTAATTTTCGAAAGGAAAAAATATTTTAATTGAATTTAAATTGCCATTTTTTAATTTCAAACAAAATTACATACACGTACATAACTTTCGAATATGCTATAATAATACTCCGATATACTATAATTATATGGACGGTTAATCTTGAAACCGAATTTAGTCCATTTTCAAATTCCAAAAACTTTCAATTTCAAATTTGCTTTGGAAATAAAGCAATAATAATTTTAATAGCTTGAATTAAAACTATAAAAGAAAATAAATATTCTATAAAAAGCAAATAACCAATTAACCGAATTATTAATTATTTTTAAACCCAAATGGAACAATCATTATCGTTTTTAATTTAAATTGTGACATAGGTCTCAATAATCATTCTTATTTTGTGTTTTATTATGTAGGTAAATTGGCTAAATTGTACATAACTATTCTATTATAAAAAAGAAAAAAAATTATTACTTGCACTTTAATATTATAGATAACCAAAACATTAATCATTACCATATAAATGTGGGATTTAGCAATTTTGATTGTACAACAATAAAATAATTAATTCATAGTAGAATGTTTAATATATATATTTTTTATTTTACAATATTATTTATAGCTATAATGCTATTATTAGCTATACTAATTATTCTTTACTTCATAAAAAAAATTAAACAAAATTAAAGTTAATATTGATTCGCTCACGACAATAAAAATTGCTAAATGCCACATATGGGGGCTCAACCGGGATCAAGCTTTAAAATTGTGCTAAAATATATGAATTAATTAATATAACTTTAAACTTAAATCGTGAATTTCTACTTCAAAAGAATAATCAAAATTGCTAAATCCCACATAAATATATATATACAATTAAAACATACAATTTATACATATTCTTATAAAAATACAATGAATTAATTTTTTTTTCTTGAAATAAATTTGAAAAAATTACATTTTACATATTATATTTAAAATATACTTTAAAATTTTTGAAAAAGTAATTGTTCCTACTAAAGAGACAAGATTTAATTTTTTATACATATTATTCTATATTAAGTACCTATACACAAAATTGTTATAGAGTATGTCACATTTTATTAAATTTTCCGATTTGAAACATGATTTTTATATTTTTTCGTTTTTCAGTGCCCTTTTTCGATTTTTTTTTTTCTTTTTTTTATATTCTGAATCTTACATTATTATATTAAAAGCAAAAAAAAAAGCATACAAAATAATAATAATAAAATAATAATATACTTGTATATACATATATATAAATGTATATATATATATGTATGCACATAAAAAATATCTATACATTAAAAATCATGGAAAAGTTCAATCTTAAACATATATGTATATATATATATATACAATATTATCATTCTTGTTATATATGAAACAGTATATATAGGTATGTTATATATACGTAATATGTACCTTTAATAGTATTTAAAATATAAATATACCTATGTATATATAGATATATGTATATATGCATAATTTTTCAACGAGGATATTGATTATTTCAATGATGATTATATTATACTGCAGTGAAATCATATGACCGTTTTATAAAAAGTTCCATACAAAAAAGTGAATTATATGTACATATATATATATACATATATGTATAGTTTGAATTGTATTTTTTTTTTTTAAAATATATATATATGTATATTTCTCATATATATTGTTTTTAACTTTTCTTACTTTAGAATAAGAATATTTAAGTAAAAATACAATATACATATATATCACAAATCATAAATAATATATTGAAAATTCTTTTTCTAAAAATTATTTTCTATATAAGTAATGGAAAAATGTACAATTTTTAAAATAAAAAAACTCACCTTATCTACAGGCATTGAGGGACACGCTCTACAAAAATTCCAAAATGATCCAATCATAAGGATTCCTGTTTTTTTTATGTAATTACTTTGCTTATAAAAAAAATGTTTTTTTTTTTTTTTTTTGTAATATTTTCCTCTTTTATAAGAAGATTTTTTAGTTCAAAAAAAAAAAAATAACTTTTTTAACTCTTTTTTTTATAGAAGGAAAAAAGAAAGTATGGTTTTTTTAATTAAATCAAAAAGAGGAAATTTTTCATTTAAGTTTCTTCTCTACTTTCTACTTTTTAATATTTGTATGTATGTATAATATATTTTATTAAAATATTATTAAAATTATAACACTTTTTAAACTTATTAAATTTTTCTTTTTTCTTTGAATATTTTTTAACTTGTAATAATGCCTAATATTACATGTACTTACTTAAATATATTTATTATACTCTTGTAAAGATTAAATTTTATTTTAATTTCGAAATTTAGGAAATACGAGTAGTATAGAATTTTATAGAATGACTTTTTATAGAAAGGAAAAAAATTAACAAATTTTTTTTTTCTGTTATACAAATGACCCCAATATATAATTTCCTTTCTTATTAAATATTTTAAAATAAAATATTTTTGTTAAATAAAATTTTGATTTTAGAAAATGATTTCTAATTTTTTAGAAATTTTTAATTATAAATACATTTTTTTTAATATACATATGTATGTATATATATATATATATATATATATTTAATATATTATATTTTATATTTTTATTTTTTTCTTTCTCTCTTTTAATAATATTTTTAATAATGTTATAATAGCACAACTTGCTTCAAGTAGTATCGCCACGAAAACTAAAAAAAATTATTTTTTGATTGACCAACAAGACAGGATATTTTTTATGCCTACATACACACATACATATAATTTTTTTTTTCGAACAAAAATATACTTATTTTTTATGATAATGTATGTATATAAAAAGGGGAAATTTAACACAAATAGTTAAGAAAATTTGAGAAATTTATATTATAATTTTAAGTCCTGCGCAAACAAGAAACATTGTTGTTTCAAAATATTATTAAATATGTATTATAACGGTGTTTTAAAATTATATTATAAAATTGACAGCCAAATGCATTCTATGCGAATTATATTATATGTATGTATGTAATTATGATTACGGGTTTTAGTACACATACATATGTATGTTATATTAAATGCATTAGCACATAATGTATAATAATGTTTTTCGGTATTACAACATAATGTACATATATTAGCATTACAATTTACAATATTAATGTTACGTCTGTATAAAATAGAAATACAATATTTAGGTACTTATGTATGTATATATATGTAATTGAAAAAAATTGAAAAATATTTTTACGTTATTTTGAAAATTTGGAATACTTTTAACTACCTACAGATTTCGAACAAAAAGAAAGCAAATGCAAAGTGCAGTAAAAAACCTTTTTTAACAAAATAAGAAAATATAGTAAATAACCTATTTGAAAATGTTAGATGTCCATATCGTCTATATAAATACAGTAGGTACCCATTAAATATTAATTTTATCCTGTATTTTACCTTTTCAAAAATTTTAACCATTCCATGGACATGCTTTTATCGAAAAATAAATAAAAGATAAGAATATCTATGTATTTATATTGAAAATCGGGAAATATTGATCGAGATATTTATTAAATTTATAACTTTTTTGAACAGGTAGGTAGGTACTTATCTTCAAATGGATCTACTTATCCATTTGCAAGATTCTTAATGATCCTTAATTTAACTTTATAGCCTATATAGAAAATGAATATTGTATGGAATTATTTTTGAAGTGTTCTGAAATTATGAATATTAAAGTGAATAAAATCGAACATTGTAAAATATCTATATAATTATATTAGGTATATAAAAATTGAAACAAATAGGTAATCCATATAAAAATTACTTTAATCTATATGTTTAAAACTAAAAATGTCCTCAAACTGAAAACCAATCTCAACATTCCATTATATTATCTACATATTTAGAAAACTTTTATGTTGAAAAGTAAAAAGTACAAGTTTCATATTTAATTTTCGCTTTTATTCATTGTATTATGAAGAATTTTTAACATTCAAATATGCAGGACCAGTCTGTTGTATATGAACAATACGTTCATTTGAATCACCTGCAAGTTTTTTAGGAGCTCTTATAATTAGTACACCATCTGATGACAGATATGAAGATAAGTTATCTAAACTATACTCATCTGGTAGTTTAAATCGCTTTATAAAATGACGAGACATAGCACCATATTTATCACGTTCTTCTTCATGTTTACACTCAATAATGACATCTTCATCTTTTACTTTAACAGATATTTCATTCGGTTTAAAATTGGATACTTTTAAACACATTTGATATTCATTCCCTTTTATGTCACTATTATTTTTGAAATCATGCTTGATTTGGCCACTTTTTTTCCGTCTCAATTCAGGAAAAGTTGATAAATACGAAACTAAATGCATTGGAACGACATCATAATCATATGGTAGGCGGTCATTACCAATACATAATCTTCTCTTTGTTGGTTGAATTTCCCAAGGCTCAAATAAATTGAAAGTTGATGAAGAAACAGACATCTTTTTGTTCAGTTCAATTTTTTTATATTATGTATTTTCGATTAACGTATTTTAATAAATTAAAACAAAGCTTTTTTTTCTAAATTATTCTTGCAAAATTTATAAGACAAACACTAACGTCTAGGAACTTTAAAATAAATTGCGCGCTTGCGCTTTAAAAACTGAATATTTCTGCGAATAAGATGCAAATGCAAATGCAGTTAATGTTAAAATGTAGTTTTTGAAGGATTTAAGTTGGCAGCCTTGGCTGCAGAATTGCAAATACCGGCTGACTTGGCGGGTAATGTGACATTTCGAATTTAATATCGAAAAAAGCTGTTTACAAAACGTAGATAAACAAATTTAAACTCATTATGTTACCTAAGATAGAATTTTGATTTATAAAAGTTAATATAATTGCACTAAATACTAAAAAGATCAATGAGTAATAAATTTAAATTATTTTTGGAAGTTTTAAACGCCGAATTGTAAATTAACCTATTATTAGTCAATTGTAAAAAGCTGATTTTCAAGAATTATGACTCAAAAAAAAAAAATTTTATCTAATGCCATTTTCTATTGGTATTTCCAGATTCAATTTTCAGAGAAATTTTTGCATACCAATAGAAAAAACATTTTTTTGTTTGTGCCTTCATGTCAGTAAAAAAAATTTTGTTGAAAATATCATTGATTATTACAGGAGGACACTAGAAATAGCAGTGTTATGATACAGGCAATTTTATTTTAAAACATAAAATATTTCTGGATATATGTTATGCATATATTTTAAGAAATTTATTAACTGCCAGAAATTTATAAGTATAGCATCATGGAAGAAATTTTCAAACCTTACCACAGAACTAAAATGATTAAACACATTACAGCTGTTATGTAAACGTAATTAGTTTTACAACATCCCTCAAAGAATGATGTATTCATATTACAAATAACAACAAAATTGACATTAGTTTGTCACAAATAGTTGCTACCTCAGACATAAGTTATCTGTTTGTGGACTGCTGTTTGGGGAAGAAATAAATTAATTTGCTATTAAAGACTATTATAAAATTTAACATACCAGATTTTTGCTTAAAAATGCATTAATAAATTTTATTTTGTCACATTGTTTATTAAAGCAAATAAGGTGTGTATTTACGGGTAAATGGTCTTATAGAAATTCATGTTTTATGTAAAATTTTGCTAGAACGCTTTGTAAAATCGCAAAGTTCAATACATAAATTTGTTACATCACGAAGCCTTGTCTAATAATAGTTTTACTAATTTAATTACATTAATATAACAACGCAATTTTTTTTTTGTGTAGTGAAGTTCAACTTAAAATTTCTTTATGATGCGGTAGTCGAACAGCTTTAAAGAAGAAATGACATTTAAATTATTCCGAAGAGGATCTGCAAAATGCATAGGACTTCTTTCAGCTTTTGTAACTATTCTCATATGTCTATATTACATATCAATTGGACAACCTTCACGAAATAAAGAGCAATTTCACCAACATAATACTAAAAGTCATTTTAAAAGACATGAAACTGGAGAACGAAATCGAAAATATGAATCTCTGCATCTGAGCGGGGTCTCATCAGAATTTAACTCGAAATGCTACCAGCTCTTTGAGCATGAAACCAATATTACAACAAGCAAAGAATTCGAAAATTTCGAATTTCAGGTAAACAGCCATATAAAAATAATTTTCTTTTATTTATTCTTATATTTTTATAAAAAGCCGGAATGGATGCGAAGTAAAGAGTATTGGGATAAATCTTTCGAAGAAAGGTATGATTCTCAAATCAAGAATGGATCAAGACCACCTCTAAAAGTATTAAAATAAATGAGTTCAATATGAGTAATTTAAAAATAATACATGTTTTTAGATAATATTAGTGATGCATTCTCATAATGATCCTGGTTGGTTGAAAACTTATATTAATTATTTTCAAAGTGACACAAGACAAATTTTGAATTATGTTATTGGAAAAATGCAAGAATATACGGAAATGACATTTATTTGGTCTGAAATGAGTTTCTTGCAGCTATGGTGGGATCAAGCACATCCTACAAAGCGCAGGGTATCTTTTTGAATTATATAAAAGGGAAGCTAAATAATTTTTCTTTTTTTAGGCTTTAAAAAAACTAATTAACAGTGGAAGATTTGAAATAACTACTGGAGGCTGGGTAATGACAGATGAAGCCAACGTCCACATTTTTGCAATGATAGATCAACTGGTAGAAGGACATCAATGGGTTAAAGTAAATTTAAACGCAACACCGACTGTAGGCTGGTCAATTGATCCATTTGGGCATGGTGCAACGGTACCTTATTTATTAGCAGCTAGGTAATTATTGAAATTTATTTTCCGATATAACGATATAAATTTTATGTTTCAAATCACGTTTTTATCTTAAATAATTTTTTTTAATATTTACAGTGATTTTGATGGAACAATCATTCAACGTATTCATTATGCGTGGAAGCAATGGTTTGCAAAAAACCAATTTGGAGATTTTGTCTGGAAACCTTTTTGGGAAACATCATCACCAAATGGTATTGACTTGAATGATAAAAGGAGTCTATTAACACATAACATGCCCTTTGATATATATTCAATAAAACATTCTTGTGGTCCCCATCCATTCATATGCTTAAATTTTGATTTTCGAAAAATTCCTGGAGAATATACCGAGTACTCAATCAAAGCTCAATTTATCACTGATGAAAACGTAGCTGACAAAGCACAATTGCTGCTTAATCAATATTCTAGAACGGCTTCTTTATTTCCACATAATGTCGCCTTGATTCCGATTGGGGATGATTTTCGGTATAATAAAGAACGGGAAGTTGATCAACAATATAATAACTACAAAAAACTCATTGACTTCATTAATGCCCACAAAGATGTCTATCATACAGAAATTCAATTCGGAACACCGAAAGATTATTTCCGAGAAATTCGCCAACGACATAAAAATTTCCCTTCACTCAAGGGAGATTTTTTTGTTTACTCTGATATATTTTCTGAAGGCAGACCAGCTTATTGGTCAGGTTACTTTACGACAAGACCATTTTACAAAATTTTGAGTACAGATTTGGAACATAATTTGCGAGCGAGTGAAATTCTTTTTTCAATTGCATACAATTTCGTTAGACAAAAACGACATAACAATGCAGTAAAAGTTTTGGAAAAAAATTATGAAAAAATGATTTTGGCACGTCGTAATTTGGGATTATTTCAACATCACGATGCCATTACGGGAACTTCTAAAGCAGCTGTAATGCGTGATTATGGCTTGAGACTTTTTGAAAGCATACAAGTAATTTCAATTCAATATTTTTTATATTATAAATAAACAATTTTTTTGTCGGTAGGACACAGTAAAGATGCAGGAATCCACAATAGAAATTCTTTTGGAAAACGATCCAACTTATCATCATAACTTTTTACTTAGCGAACTAGAACGGGAAAATTTTGGCAAATTACCTAAAAAAACGCCAATCACTTTGGAAAATAACGGCGAGGGTTCTTTTGTAATATTTAACTCGTTGGCTCAAAAGCGTATTGAAGTAATGTCCATCAGAACTTCTCGACCCAATGTTTTGGTGATAAACGAAAATGGGACCGCTGTTGTACAACAAATCAATCCTGTTTGGAATTTGACAGAAAATTACGAAAACCCTAAAACTTTAGATCAACTTAAAGTAAAAAATCTAATTTTGAACTTATTAAACATTTTTAACATTTTTTTGTGTAGGTCTCTACAAAGCAGTATTCTATATTATTTTTGGCAGAATTACCGCCTCTGTCGATAGTGACTTATCGAATTGTACCACGAGATAATTACAAAAATGATATGGCTACTATTTATTGTGATGAATGCTTTGACAATACAACAAAGAACGAATTTGATGTCAAAATTAAACAGCCTGGTGATATTCAACTAGAAAATAATAAAATGCGTTTGCTATTCGACGAAAAGTCAGGGTTTCTGAAATCAATTACTAGAAAAAATATTGGAAAGCCAATACAATGTGGAATAAAATTCGCAGCTTACAAAAGTGCTCAATTTCATTCGGGGGCATACTTATTCAAAACTGATCCTGTAGAAAGAGAAGCGGAAAAAGATGTTTTAGAACAATACGACAATGTTCGGATAATTATTACAAGCGGACCTTTAGCCAGTGATGTGACCACTATCTATCCACCGTTTCTTGCTCATTCAGTAAGGATTTTTAATTCTCGGACATTTATGGACAATGCTATCTACATAGAAAATGATATAGATTTCGAACTTCCACCTAAAAACAGAGAGACTGAACTTTTCATGAGATTTTTAACAGATGTAGAAAATGGAGAAACGCCAGAGTTTTATTCAGACCAAAATGGTTTCCAATTTCACAGACGTACTAAAGTACCGTCAATCGGAATAGAAGGCAATTATTTTCCAATTACAACGGCAGCTTTTATCCAAGATACCAATAAACGTATAACACTTATAACAAATCACGCTCAAGGTGCAGCTAGTTTAGAACCTGGAGAACTGGAAGTAATGTTAGATCGACGAACTTTATATGACGACTATAGAGGTAAGAGCTGTTAAAATGCAAAAAAAAATTTATATAATATTAAATTTACTAAAGTTATTAAAATGCATAAAAATTTATATAATATTAATTTATATTATTAATGTTTATTATTTGTAGGAATGGGTGAAGGAGTGGTTGACAGTCGTCTTACCCGAAACAAATTTTGGTTAATTATTGAAGATTTGCCAAAACAATTAAAAAATACTTATCAAATGCCCAGTTTATTAGGTACACTTCTAATTAATAATTTACGATACCCGCCAAACGTATATTTTATGGAAAATTTTGATTTTAAATTGCCAACAAATTTAAGGAAGAAAATTAATTTGTTGAAAAATCCTATTCCTTGTGACTTGCATTTATTAAATTTACGTACTTTAACTGAAGAACAGTTACCACTTTTTCCATCACGTTCTGCTTTAATTATAATGCATCGCCAAGGTTATGATTGTAGTATAATTAGTGATGATAATTTAAATTTAATTTGTAACAATAGTACAACTAGCCTGCCAGATATAATGTTTGATCGCCTTTTAATTCAGAATATTGAAAGTACTTCACTTACCGGTTTAAATAAATACAAAAATATAAAAGCATTTTCAGATATTTCTATTGAACCAATGGATGTTAAAACGTTTAATATAACATTTAAGTTTTAAAAGAAAAACAAAAAAAAAAGATTTGTAATGAATTTATAATTGAAAGGTATTTTAAAGATATTGAATTTTGAGGTATTTCTTTTCACAATTTAAAATATATGTATGTATATTAAGTATATAACTTATAATCTAATTTAAAAGTGTTACAGTTCAAATGAAATATTTAAACGTTTGTGCAATATTTACAATATTAACCGAAATAATTGTATACATATTTTAAAATTCAAATGTTTTTTTTTATTGAAAACATATCACAAACGGAATTTTTTTCTTTTTTATCCCATAAAAAATAAAACAAAATATTACAAAATGTTTAAACAAAAAACATATTAGTACATTATTAAAATATAAAAACGTTTAAATATTTCTAATTTCAAATTTAATTATTACGTTAATTACTCATTGATGACTTTTTTGTCTCTCTTGTACGGCATAAAGTGTAACGATTTTGTTGATTCCTCTGTTACGAATTGTTCAGGATTTATAGTGTGGGACATCTCATCTATTCAAATGGTAATTGTCAGAACTTTGACCCCTGATGGAGTCACTACATTTTACTTTCTTTTTGCTGCTTGGAAAATTTCCAAATTATGGTCTCCAATTTGACACATGAAACTTATGTTATGTAGCTTTTTTACACCGAATTTACTCACCCATTTCAGACCCATGCTATAGATCGCAGCTAAACATTTTCCATACAAAAACTCACTAGTTTCAGTTTTATGTATTTTAAATGGACATTTGTTCAATTTGTTTACATTTGTTGCCACTTTAGATAAATTTATTTGTTTTCCGATTTCTAAATTTTATAATAAAACAAGTCATTTTAACTTTATTTCATTTTTAAATTAAATAATATAATATAATTGATTTTCTGTATTTGAAAATAGAAAATGTTTATGAATACTTATCAATATTAAAACTTATTTATCATTCTTCATAAACATTTCGTTAACAAAAATGAAACAAAAAAATTAACATTCCTGTATTTTCTTTTAATTTTATAAGAGGGCAGCTATTTATTTTTAGTACTTTTTTTTTTTAATTTTCTTCTTTTTTGATAAGTAAAATTATTATAAAAAATTAGAAAATTATGTTACAAACTGAATCGAATCATATAGTAATATTGATATTATAAAAATTTATAGCATTTAATTGAACAAAAATATTTTTAAATTTAAATTTACATAGAAAACTTGTGTATTATATAATATATCTACATAAATTGCATTTCAAATTGTTTATTTCTAACTTTATATTTTAAATTTTGTACCTAATAGAGGAGGAGTATTGTTTTTTATTATGTATCAAATTTAAATGAAGAAAAGCATTATATGTTTATCAAATTCGTTAATGTAAATGATAAGTAATTTAATGCAGAATATTCTCTTTGTTCCTTTTTTTTTTAACTTATTAATAATTTTTATATGGAATAAATTAATATTTAATTTATTTAAAATGACAAAATCCTCATTTTTAGGATCGTCAAATTAAAATTTTTAATTGAATGAATCTTTATCAAATATTTGTTTTAATTAAAATAATTTGTATAATGAGAATTACACTAATATTGTAATTCATTAAATTTAAAAAAAATTTCGTTAGATTAAAATCATTTAAATTGGTATTTTAATAAAATATTTTTATTTTTTTATCTTACATGAATAATGATAAATATATATAAATATGTATTTATTTATACATATACATATATTTTTTTTTTATTGATGATGTTTAAATTTTAAGTGCAATGTTTTTTCTTCTATGAAGGAAATGTATTTATTTATTATAAAAAAAACATAAAAGAAAAAAAAAATTAAAAAAGATTTTGACTTTCAAATATTGTGATTTTCTTTACATTCAACATTAATTCTGTAGGAAATAAGAAAGTTTTCAATGATAAATAATAAAAAAATGAATGTCTGGGCCCTATTGCACCAACCACTTTTAGTTCTTAACTTTTCCAAAGATACTACATAATAAGTGTTTTGACTTTTGGTGAAACAAAAACTTTGCAAATTTTTTGATTAATTAATTAAAAAAAAAAAAAAGGGAAAAAATGGTTAATGCAATAGAATCTCCTGAACGTTCTTCAATTATTTCTTTATCATTGATATTAGCTTAAGTTAAGTTGAAAGCTATTAAAATGTAAAGTGCAAACGAAAACGGACTGATTATTAATGTGGTTTAAATATTTTATTAAACAGATGTTAGCTTACAATTCCTTGTCTTTTAAATAATTTATTTTTTTAATTAGCTTAATTTTTTTTTATTTTTCAAGTTTTTATTTGATTTTTTTTTTATATATTAAATTAGATCAAATTTATAAGCATATTTTAAGATAACATTATTTGATGAGATACATAAAAAAAAATAATAAAATATTTTATTAAAAAACCAATACAAAAAACGTTTATTAAATTTGGCAGCTTTATTTATAAAAAGATTTTAATAAATTGATTAATATTACTCGAATGTAAAATAATTATTTATCTAGTTAGTAAAATTAATTTTTAAAAACGATTACGAAAGTTTTGATATCTATTAATAAATAATTGGAGTTAAAAACAAATTTAAAAAGAATGAGCAAAAAAATTACTACATGTATTTTTTTTTTCATTTTAATAAAATCTTAATTGTTCGTTCAACTTTCTTTTCTTCAAATATAAATTAAAGAAAAAACAAATAGATAAAAAATATAAAGACGTCAATAAAGGATAAGAGTATCTCTAATATTCATTACATAACTAATTAATTTATCTATTTATTTATAAAAAAAAAAACTCCTCCTCACAATCTATTATTTTATTATAATACAAAAATATTAAAAACTCTATTATAATAAATTTGCTGTGCATATAATGTCGAAATTATTAACGACAATTTACAAATTTAACAAAAATTTAAATTAGTCGTAATTGATTCATAAAGAAATATTTTCATTTTAACCGATAATCAATTGATTAATAATTTTTAATATAAACATAATAATTTTGATATTATAGTTGAAAATTGGTAAAAAATTAAGATAACATTTTAATGATACAGCAAATAATTCTAAACAAAAAGACAAATTATGAAAAAAATTATTTTAAGCTTTATTATTTATAAAAAAAAATTATTACATAATTATTATAGGAAAATATTCGAATAAAAAAAAAACATAAAATAGTGATAGTATATAATTAGTTCTAGTAGGTATCCTGGTATGTTCTCTCTCTATTCCAAATTAATGCAAACATGACACGTAAAACTCTTATTTAGTATTTCACTTGTACAGATCAAATGATTGATATTTTTTTTTTATTAATTAAACATTTATCATTTTTATTATGGTACCTATATAATTATTTTAAATTTAAATTAAATATATATGTGTAGCTATATATAATTAAGTTGAAAACATAAAAAATTAAAAAAAAAGAAAAGGAATTATTCGACTCTACGTAGAATTAAATTCCAAAACACAAAAATTATGTAATTTAAAAACATAAACCAATTAAAAATTAAATAAAAACAGAAAAAAAAAAAAAACAAAATATAATATAATTAAAATTAAATCCAAAGTTAGCAAATATACAATTCATAATTTTCAAAATCCTTAAAAGCAAAAAGAAAAAGTTAAAAATTAATTTTTCTCTTGTTTTTTTGGATTTTGTAAAAAATAATTTATAAAATTTATTTGTTCTCCTTTTTTTATAAATATGAAAGAATTTAATAAAAAACATTTTTTGGAGAGACAAAATTTTATTTATTTACATACATACATATTTTTTTTACTTCCTTGCATCTGTAATATTTTTTTACGGAACCATTAATCTGTATAAGACAAATTTTTTATGAGTCGAAAATTTCATATGGTCTTCTTACTATACAGTCGCAAATAAAAGAACTCGAAAACGAAGGTAATTTTTTCGTGTTATTTTCGAGTAAGAAAATTTTTCTTGACAGATATTTCGGGTTTAAGCAAATGAGTGAGATAATATATCCGTTTAATAGCATTTTAAACTTTTTCTTATTGCGTATTTAATCTTAAAAATACACAAAATCCAATATTGCAAAAAAGGATTTATCCAATTATGAAAAGTGAAATTCTGTTTAAAAACCAACTAAGGAAGACAGCGCATAATAAGGTTATATAAATATATTTTTAACGTTAGCTAGTGTAGTTATTTTTTGAAAGCTCTTCGAATTTTACAATTTCTCCTCTAAAAATAATACTAAATTACTCTACCATTTCACCTCTAATTATAATAATAAATTAAATAATAATGTTCCTTTTTATATCAATTCAAGTAAAATAATCTTTCGGGAAAATTCAGAACATGACAAAAAAACACGAAAATGACTAACTTTAACCAAAGACCATATATATATATATACATTATATGGTTTTTGCTTTAACTAATTGGAAATTTAGCCTTATTCATTCTTTTTATAAAATTTAAGCAAAGTATAATAGGTGAAAAGTCTCAAAAAAAGGGACCAATGGCAAATCTTCATTCCAGTAAATTGTACAAGTCTCTAACATGAATCATTCGAAATAATATGTATTTTTGTAACTAAAATATAAAATTTTTAAGCATTCTCAGAAGCGTTAACTCAATATTTCAGAAATCGTAATGCATATGAAGACTTCTTTTATTGTATTTTAGCGGTTATACAGCTTTTAGGCGACAACTTTAGAAGAAATAGTGAGATATGTATACAGAAAGATATAATTCAAAATTATTTTTCTTATTTTTTGTTTTTATTATAAGATCCCAAATAAATTATTTTCGTGTATATAAATGTGTAAGTATAAATTTAATCTAAATTTCTTTTCCTTAAACATTAATAGGTTAACATATATATATATATATACGTATATGTATATATATATATGTATATATATATTATGTTGTATTGAACATATTACATAATATGCATAATATATAAATTCATTATCAAATGTGCATTTGGTTTTTATAAATATTGCAAAAAAGACATACATATGTTAAAGAAAAGAAAAACTTAATGAAAACTTTTTGCTTAGTTACAATTATTAATAAATTTAAATTCACTAAATATTAAGAAAAATTTGCAAATGACAACATAAGTAAATTTTATTTTAAATTGCATGCATTCATAATATTTGTTAATATATTTGTATATTTAAACACTATAATATTTTATACAGGAATATGATCATTTTTGAACTAAACTTAATGTATTCAAGCAAATTTCTTAAGAAGAATTTTTAAAATCATTTCTTTCAATTTTTGTTCCCATATTTTTCAAATCCTTTTGCTTTTTAAATATTACTTGTACCATACATTAGTTTTATTTTAACTTTATTACTCAAGAATGTTATAGAAAAATATGAACCAATTATAAAAGGTAATTAATAATTAAAATATTTTACTTTAAACGTGTTTGGATATTTATTAATACATGGTATTAAGTATTAAAACAGTTATATTCCTGAAACATTTTATATTTTAATCTCACTATAGGTTTCATGTAAATATAAAAATTTAATTTAACAAATAAATATTTAATTTAAATAATGCCGTAGTTAAAAGTCAGGCTAATTTTCTTTTAAATATATAAAAAGTATTTATTTGAACGAATACTTAATTTTTGAGGCACTTAAAAGCTTTTATAAATAAAAAGTAAAACAACAAAGAAAATTTTCGAAAAATGCTACTTCTAAATTTATTGAATTTTTTTAAGCAATATTTTTAATAAATTAATTATTTCACTATTGAAATTGTTGGTGGGTTTTAAAAAGGCTATATTATTTTTAATTTTAAATAATAATAATATAGTTTAGTTCATCTTTATCCTGTATATAAAAAAATTATACTTTTTTAAGTAAAAAATTCTTATGATTACTTTACTCATAATTAAACATTCATTCTATTAAGTAAAAAACAAAGCTACAATTATATGAAATCAATTACATATTTGAAATTGTGCTTGCTTAATATAATAATCATTTGTAATTATTCATATAGTTGCCGTTTTAGATCTGGTTTGCTAATGTTTTCCCAACTTATCAAAAGGCTACAATAACTTTATTGCATCATGAAATAAATTACCAAAATCCAGAAGATTTTCCGCCTGGTGGATTTCTTACACGGATGCATGATCTTTTTTCGCTTTTATCCAATTCTTCTACAAATATAAATATGTTATGATATGCATATAAGAAAGCATGTATTCATTTTGAAGTTCATTTTTATTAATTAAATTAAGTTACCGCTGATAGAAAATGTAGATTCTTGCATATTCTTTTGACCATCAAGTCGTGGTGCTTTAGATGGCGTATAAACTGATTCTTCTTTTGGTTCAATAAGTATATCATCAACAGCCTTCGTAAATAAATCTATATCCAAGTCTTCTTTGGTAACGTCTTTGTGATTTGTTTGATCCATGTCGTCATGATTTTCAGCCCTTCCGTTTAGAGCGTTGTAAACAAACGGGGGGAAAACTGAAGTTGGCAAAAATGTACCTTGTCCTTCAGCTACACGAACTGCATCATTTTCTACACAAATTCTTCCCTTGGCAATAACTATTTCTGGGACCTAAATATTTTTAACATTCATACGTAATACTTAATATAATTGAAAACAAGTAAAAATAAAATAGGACTTACGCCGTGGCACACCATCCCTTCGAAAATATTGAAATCGCATGCTTGATAATGAGTTTTTGCTGAAATTCTCCTTGTCGTTTTGGGATTCCATATCAATATATCAGCATCCGAACCTACTGCAATTCTTCCTTTTTGAGGATATAAATTGAATATTTTTGCAGCATTTGTACTTGTTACAGCAACGAATTTACATGGATCTAAAATACCAGCGTGAACTCCTTTTTCCCAAACAACAGACATGCGATCCTCTACACCGTTTACTCCATTTGGAATTTTGGAGAAATCATCTCGGCCAAGCTCCTTTTGATTTCTGTTAAAAGTACAATTATCGCTTCCAGTGGTTTGAAGATTATCACTTTTATAAAAATCAAATAAAATAAAATAAATTATATTTATTAGCTACAAGTTTCATTATGATATTCAACAAGTTTTGGAAAGCAAATGTTTCAATGAATTTTCTATGACTTCATTTTTATTCCAAAAAATTAAAATTAGAAATGTTTCATATTTGATAATATGTCTTTTATGAAATTCGATTTGAAAGAAAAATAAATACTCGTAATTGAAAAATTAAGGGAAAAGTAATTGAATTACCAATGATTCAACAAAAAAAATAGGTTACTCCAATACAGATATCATAGCAAATGAATGTATGTAATATTATTGACATTTGTGTCATTTCAAGTTATGATAAATGTTACATTAAATTACAAATTTATGGTTCTCGCAGTTGGCTGTATAACGTTGATATTTTATTTCGATAATGTTTAAATTATCTAAAGATTAGACTTGGAAAATTATGAAGGTTTTCGACCAAAAACTTTAATTCGACCAATTCCGCTTTAAGTTAATTCAAAAGCGTCCACATAATCTAATTTATCATTTATATTAAAACTGTGTTTACTTAGTTATGTATTTAACAATTGATTTAAAATTAAATGGAAATTGTTATTTGCTTTTAGAATACTAAATATTAATATAAGCTAACAAAAAATGCCAAATATATACAAGAAGAGTTAGTCAATTATTAGGAAAAGGTAGTTTAATAACTTTTATAATCACCACACTCAAAATACTTACTATGCCAATGCCTTAACCAAATGTTTCGGCGTTTCAACAGATTTTCGTATCGGAGGACTTTTTATGAAATATATTTGGGCTGCCGGCTTTACATCATCCATACACCGACCTATTGAACTAGCTAATGTTTCACCGAAAACACAATAATTACTTCGTCTATATCGTCCAATTACCTCACTTGATAAATTACTTGTTACTCGAGTAACATATAACGGAACTTTCATCTGAAGGATTGTTTTTAGTTAGAATGAAAAAAAAAGAAAACGGACACAAAAAAAATGTTATGGATAGTTTCCAAAATTATTCTGCGTATTGGTTAAAATAATGTTATGTAGCGATCATTATATTTATAAAGTGTTTTTTTTTTTCTAAATTAGGAAATATTATTTTCTATAAATGCAAAATAAAATGATTATTATAAACATGCTTGAAATGTTAGAGCATGCAAAAGAAAGTAATTTAAGTTGTAAGTGCTAAAATGAAGAACAATTTTGAATAGAAAACTTAGCTTTTAAACTATAAATATAAATTACATATGTATAATTATAAAGTTATTTCTTGTTTTTTTTTTTGTTAGAATAAAATATTTACAAGTATAATTACACATGTGGATACCTACTCAGCCAAACTCTTCATTAAAAATTGTGGTGTTGTTTTATCTGGCCTAAGAGGTGGCGACAAAACATGAGCAGCGGCATGATGCCAGCATTCGTGCTTATAATTAGTTCCATCAGTACCTAAAGCGGCAGCTAAGGTTTCACCATAAATTCCTTTTTGATTATAACGTTCTCTGGCACGTTTAACTTCAATTGCCGCTGATTTACTCATTACATGTACAACATATAAAGGGCATTGCATCTAATCAATTAGGAAAATTGAAAAAAAGGAAGAAAGAAAGGAAGGAAATAAACAAAAGAAGCAAAAATAAAGAAAAAAAAAGAAATAAATAAATAAAAAAAAAGAAAATAACTAAAGTAGAAGAAAAATAAAAATAAAGGTGGTCTTACAAAAAAAAAAAAGCTATTCCTTAAAATTAATCTTGCTGCTTCATAAAAATGTTTGACTTTTTAAATAACATTGGTTAATTTAACTTAATAATTTCAATAATGTAAATTGAAATGTAGATAAAATGTAAATGCATTATTTGGATATTAATGTTCTTATAGAACCCGACTTAAAATATAATAAATTCACTAAAATCAATTAAAAATGTTGTAAGTTTTTAACTTCAAATAGAAGTGAATATGTTTGAAAAGTTTCTTATTTTTGCATATACAAAACATGCGTTTCTAAATCAAAATATTCTTGAAACAAATATCGCTTCTAAAGCAAGGAACAAATTGCCTCCAAAGTTTGAAGCACATTCATTATGTGACAATATGCAAACATTTTTTTGTGTAACGAAATGAAAATTTTTGAAAAAGCCACTACAAAATGAAAACATAAAATCAAATTTGTAAACTCTAAAAGTTTGCTAAATTATATTAAAAAAGAAAAACAAAGTTTTTTCAAACAATTCCTAATTTGTGTGCACTCTTATGGTTGACTGAGATAATGATTTATATAATACACAAAGTATATTACATTAAAATTGTATAAAAAATTATGCTTTATAAAAAAAAGTTTGTATATTTTGAATATGAAAGTATGTATATTTTTTATTTATATGTGCATATAAGGTATTTTATTTCTTTATATGTATTTTTTGATATTATTATTTACATTAAAAAAATACCAATTATTATTTCTATATCATTAAATTTCCGATGCCTACATTAAAAACCATAACTAAGCCTTATATTTGAATACAGTAAATCTAAATATTTATATTTAAACTTTAAAATAAAAAAAAACAAAAATCAATTTTAATTAAATACTGCAAAAGGAGTGGAATACAATATTAGCCATGTATGTATATTTTTTATAAAATGATAGATTTTCTATTCTAAATTTAAATTAAATATTCCATAATCACTTCACGGGCATTAAATAAAAAAAAACAAAAACAATTCACAAAATTAACAATTTTAATTTTTGATTTAAACTTCTAATTCTTGAAAATAAAAAATCAAAGTTAAAAATTTCATTTGTACATTACGTATAGTAAGCTCCAGAAAAGAAACTTATATATTTTAAACACTGTAACAAAACAATGTCTAAACAAATTATATCTACAATCGAAAAAGAGTTTCTGGAACAACTAATTTTTGTTTATTGTGCTTTGAATGATATTGCTATTTTGTTTATGTTCGTGTCCTACAGTAAGTACACAACATTCTCATGCAAACATAATAATTTTTTTGTAAAAACTTGTAGTAAACGTGCTATTTTTCTATGTACAATACAGTTTGTAACAGAATTATATACAAATAAATACTATATTTTATATACACACTATTTATTATTACCTGATGAGCCAGAATACACGCCCTATTAACTGCTTCAGCTTCAACCTCTTCTTGTCGCGACAATTCATGACCATCGGGTCCATTTATTCCACTTTCCAATAGTTTTTTAACATTTTTCGCAATTATATCCCCATTTTCAGCATGAACCTAAAATAAAATTTAATTGGTTTAATATATAAGAATGACATTGTTCATCATACCTGTGCAACTGCACCTAGTTCTCTACATCTTTCAAAAGCTTCTAATAATTCCGAATCATTTAATTGAAAAAGTCCTTTGTATGCCATAAACATTTTAAATGAATTAACGCCACGTTCTTCACATAAAATTTTCATTTCATCAGAAACAGATTTCGACCACCAAGTAACAGCTACATGAAGAGCATAATCACAACACACTTTTGGATCCGCCCAACTGCGCCATGTATCGTATGCTTCCAACAAAGACTCTTTCTTTTGCGGAATCACAAAATCAACTAAAAAAAAATGTATAATTTTTGCAAAAATTTTAGAATAGTCAAAAATTACTAATTGTGGTTGTTCCTCCTGCCAAAGCAGCTTTGGTTCCGCGATAAAAATCATCAACAGCAACGGTTCCACCGAATGGTAATTGAAAGTGAGTATGAGGATCAATTCCCCCCGGAAGTATAAGTTTTTCATTAGCATCAATTACTCTGACACCTCCTGGTATAACAATATCTGTGCTTGGTCCAACAAATCTGATTAGAATAGGAACAAGTGTAAAAAACAAAATGTTTTTCTTTAATTTTTTTATATGAAATAAAATTTGTGTACTTTATTTTGCCATCTTCAACATAAATATCAGCACAAAAACTCTTATCATGATTGACAATTTTTCCATTTTTGATGTAAAGCCGATTTTGAGCGCTTTGGAGATGAATTGGCACTTTTTTGACTGGAGTTGGGGCAGGTGCTTCAGCCATTTTACTTTTCTTTGGTTATATTGAAATTAACTAAAATAAAATAGGTGTAATAAGACTTCTTTAATTATATAAGATATTATAAATTTAATAACATATAAAATAAATGTCATTTACATATTCTAAATTTTCAAGAAGTAGTGTTAAAGTATGAACACATGAATTGGCACTGATTAAAAATATGTTTATATAAATATGAATACGATAAGAACTTTTAAATTTAATTTTTACATAAAAATTAAATAACTGGGTGACAAAAACAAACAAGTTGCGTAACAAAATATTTAAATAAAAATTTGCAATTAAATGTCCAGTTTCTTTATCTATAACATACCACATTAGACATACATATGTATTGAACGAACGTTTTAAATTAAAATAACTAAGAAATTTTTTAAATCTTATTCGTCCTATCTACTAACGACCCCTTATCAAACGAAAATCGTAATATTCAAATTAAAAAAAAAAATGGAGGTAGAAAAGTTGAAGATGAGAGAATATTATTATATACTTTTCGATTTTTTTAAGGTCGTGCTAAATTGCAAATGGTACCACCCAATATTTATGCTAATTATAGAACTTACGATTTCATCCAAATTTGTATATTCGTGTAAGAAAAAAACATTTTTGTATACAATATTATGTAAAGTGATTTGTATGGTTGGTGTCTATACAGTACGCTCACGACTTTCTATTTATATTCGAGACATTTATCAGTTTAAGTACTTATTAAGACTCAATTGTTGGATGGCTACTCAATATGTTTATGTACATAATATTGAATAGATACCTACATACATACCTAATATTGAGTTAATTTTTCAAGATTTTAAAAACTTTTAACTGTTTTAATAATCACCAAATCAATGTAGGTCAATGTAGGTATAGGTGTCTCAATGTATATTTGAGGTATCAATGGTATGTATATCTACGAAATACATTTCCGTCATATGTTGAATTATAAAAATTGATGATTGGAAAGGTTATAAGTAATTGATTTATTAACTTTTGTTTTGAATTTGCTATACTTTCTACTATATGTGGTTCCATATATTAATATTTTATTTTTCTTATGTAAAATTCATTCAGTGTGATAACAACAATATATACCTACGCACAAAAGTATGTTATTTTCAATCTGTTCAAAAACAAAATACCCAAATGAAAAAAATGTTGTATAATAAATCGTCTTAGTTTCCAAAAATTTTTGTCAACCTATTTTTAATTTTTAATAATTATAAGATATTTTATAGTGATACAAAAGCAGTAAAAACTTTGCTTAAAGATCAATGAATTGAAGTAAAACATAAAAATCAAACCTTGAACTATTTTAAAATCAAGAGGTTAATTACCTTTTTTTCTTTTTGGATTTTAAATATACTCCGTACCGAGATGTACCTACCAACTTACTATGTGAGTGTTTTAATTAAACAATGTTTAAATTTAATATTGCGATAAAACGATAACTTATAAAGAATGTTTTTAAAATAGAACTTTAGTTTACTTTTTTTGACTCAAGCAAAGATATGCGTGCCTAGATTTTAAATGAAATCGAAATACATATTCACTCTTCAGTATCATCTAGCTCCTGTACACATAACCTATCTACATACTTATATATTTAAGTACATCACATCCACTGTACATAAATACCCTAAATAATGTATAAATATACATAATAATGTTAGGTTCATTATGAGGAATTTTTTTATTAATTTTTATTTCCTCTGTATCTATATAAAGAATTCATGAATATAGAATATAATAGAATATCAAAATTACGGAAAGTACTACAGGAATGTAGACTATGCCTATAGGTATACCTATACTTGATTAATCCTATGCTCGTGATTATGCATAAGTATACAAATATGAAATTTATCGCATTTATTCGTACATTTGTAGCTTTGTTGGCATTTTAGTTACTTATACGTATACATATTTATGTATATTAAATAACTATTGGAAAAATATGCTACTTTATTTCGGATTCAACTTATATTCAAAAAAAAATAATCATTTCAAAATCACTATCTAAATATATAATGATAATCAAAATTACACAAAAATATTAAAATTTGAAATAGTCTACCCACCAAGTCTGTTTTTCAACTTATTCTTAAAACACAAATTATTTCTACACTTTTGAAATTTATTTTATAAAAATTTGTTTTCTTTTTTTCAAAAATATCTAATATATATTTATTCTTTATTTTTAAAAATAAGCTTAACGCACCTACACCCTCTTATTAATAATATAAATTGCACTTCGAAGATTTTATTCGAGTTTCGATTCAATATTATTCAAGTGTCTTTCAATCGGCTGCGTCACTCAAAAAATTTCAGACTTACCGTTTTTAACTTGAAACTTGACGTACATTTAGTATTTGTTAGTAATTGAACTTGAATGATCAATTAGTCGAAAAATAAAAAATGATTTAACCTCACTTCGTTGCTCTATTGTTGCCTTAATGCAGTTTAAAACTATTTTGGTTGTCCGATACATAAATTGCCAACAATTGTAGGTAAATAACTCATGAATAATTCATAAATTCATTTTCATACATGGTTTTACTTTTTCGCTTGCTAATACATAAAAATAAATAAATGCGAACTCCAGTCTAAGAATAGATTAAATGACTGTGAACAGAATATATTTTTACTCTTCTTGGGATTTTCTATTTATACCTATTTTCGGTGAAACAATTTCATTTTTTAATCTCATTTTCATAATTTCATTTGACAATACATTATTTTTGTAAAATAAACAGATTCCGTATGAGAATATTATAAAATACATATCAACGAAATTTAAATAAATAAATAAATAAGTAGGCGGAAAATATTTTTTTATTGAATTTTTTAAAATTTTCAAATCACTAAAAACATAATTATTTCAAATCACTAAAAACAAAAACATTTTTTCAAATATGTATCTAGTCGCTAGCGAATACCAAAAGATCAAAATTAAATCACAAATATGACAGGTACAGAAAATATTTTATTCTCTTATTTTCGATCATTAACCGAGCAATTAAAAAGGCCAGAATAACGACACAAGCGTTTTGCCAATAAATTTCTAAACATTTCTTTGAAAAACCAAGTTAACTTATATTTTCATTAAATGTTAGTTTTTTAAGTTTGCTCAATATGTAAAATTACAGGTAGCAAAATTTTCAATTCTTAACCATACAATTAATTGATATATTAATATTATCTTGATCAATTAAGATTAATCTGTGATTGTACAAGAAATTCAATACATTTTTGAAGTTCCACAGGTGTTCGAAACATTTGTAATTGCAAATGATTTGTTGAACGAAACTTATATTTCATTCAAAACTGACACTTTGTTTACGGTCTGTCAGTCTAGCTTTTAAAGTACATGGTTTTTACATTGATTATTTAAATTGAATATTAATTCACAAATACAAATCGAGCTGAATCGTCTGTCCATTCATTTTTTATTTTATATCAAAATTATTATACTTCTAAAATTAGCAAAATAGATCAATCGAATCTCTAATAGTAGCTAAGTAAAAAACAATATTAAAGTTCAATAAAATTATTTTTGATTTTGTAAATAATGGAAATATCAATAGAGTCATGCAGAGTGTGTTTGCGGGATTCCTTTTGCGTTGATAAAAAAGAACGCTGGGAATCTGTTTCTCTCAGTGATGTTGACATAGACGAAATTTCTTTTGCTGAAAAATATTTTACATGCACGGGTATTAAGGTATTTCCCTTTTTGTTTTTGATTAAAAATTATTCTGTTATATTTATTAATGTGCTTCAAAGGTGTCAGAAACTTCAAGGTTTGGTCAAAAAATTTGCTACAAATGTTTACAATTTTTAAGGAAAATGTATACATTTTTAAAAATATGTTTACGAACGGACAACATACTCCAAAAACACATAGCCAGGGAAAATATTAAAGAATACGCAGAAGTCAAAATTGAACCTAAAACCGAAGGAAACTCCTTGTGGGAAGAAGAATATTTTGAAAACCTTTCTCCGGAATCCATCAAAATTGAGATATGCGAAGTAGATGTACCAAAACATAGAGTTGTTGGGAAAGAGCTCTTTAATGTTGTTGAACTGCCTGATATCGATGAAAGTCATGAAAATTATTCTCAGGAAAGTCTTACAAATTATATACAAAACTACTCGCGTGAAAAAGAAGAAGAATCTTTTATTTGTGAAATATGTGGCAACATATATAAAAAAAGGTATTTATTTTTCAAATTTAGTTATATAAAAGTTTCATCCTAAAAGAAATTATAATTTAAGATATCTTTTGGAAAAGCATGTAACCACACATTCGGATAAAAAGGAATACGAATGCGAGTTAGTATAGATATATTTATTGGTTTGTTTGTTTTTTAAATAAATTGTTTTAAAAAATTTTTTAAAGGATATGTGGCAAAGCTTTCCAACAACAGCAGTATTTGTCTGCTCATATTAAAAGACATAGTGGTGTCAGAAAATACAATTGCAGCTTTTGCTCTAGAAAATTTTATACAAAAGGAAAACTTACAGAACACGAGCGGTAAAATTGTATAAATACGATTTTAATAATATTTTTTAATTACGTCTTAATTTGTAGGGTTCATAGAGGAGAACGTATATATAAATGCAAATATTGTGATAGTTCATTTTTCTACGGACATAATTTAAAAAGGCACCAGCTTTGTCATACAGGTCTGAAACCATATCTTTGTAAACATTGTCATAAAACTTTTCGAACAAAATCAAACTTGGACCAGCATTTCAGAACAGATGTCCATAAAGACGAATCAACTAGAACTTATTCTATATTAACTCAATAATTTCATAAATATGTAGGTACTTTAATTTTTAATAAACATTAATGACAAAATTGTTAAAATAAAATCAAGAGTTTCTAATAAATAGTCATTGCAAACAACATTCACTGCAAAAATTATGGAAGAATGAAGAGATATGAATAATTGGTTTCGTACATTCGTATCACTTTATTTTTGAAAAAATACCTAGTCAAAACAAGATATATGTACAGAACCATAAACTTAATTTAATTTTTCAAAATATGAAAATTTTTAAAAACTAAAAGTATCTGAAATTTCAAGTAGAACCATGAAACACCAATCAGGTTTATGTAGATATTACTGTTTTAACGTCTAGTTGGAGGGTAACCATAATTAATATGTATTATACATGTATCTTATAATTCAAAACAATATGGATTTCTCATATTATTTTGTAAATTTTGTACATAGTTGTTTGACTTATCTGCTGTTTCTTATATTTTAAATTTGAAATATTACTTCAATTTTAACATTTTAAAATACACCTTACATTGTTCATTTACCTCTCTTACGCAAATATTTAAAAATGAGACATGACATAAAATGAAAGAAACTTAATTGGAAAAACAAAGAATTGTGTTATTGTGTGTATGTATGCATTGAAAAATAAGAATATAATATATGTATTCTCTTTCAATGTGAACGAATAAAAGCGGCCTTCATCCAGCTTTGTTCAAAGCTTAGGAATATTAGGACCTACATTTTAACAAAATTAAGGATTTTAATATCCAAGGCGTGAAAAATTTGTTTAATCTGGCCGTTGTTCACATGATCAGCTAGAAGATTTATTTCAATAATATACACGTTGGTGTATTAATGTAACTTGTGTGTTGGTAGATTAATGTAGCATAAAATTTATGTATTGAACTAGTATAAAAGATTTTAAAAAAGAAGTTTATAAATCATGAAAATTAAATTGTGAAAAAATTTTGAAATTAAGTTATCAAACAACTAAAACTTGAATTTTTGTAAAATCATTGAAGCAATTTGTAATACAAATTTGATAATAAATAATGACTGATAAAGAAAACACAAATAGTAATACTTCTGGAAGTTCTGAAGAATCATCTTTGTTATTATGTGAAAACAATAGGTATTCAAACAAGTGCCTTGAGCACAAAAATAGTGACCTACTTTATTTCGCAAAATATGGCAAACTCATCAAACGTGGACGTTGTTTGGACCATCATAAAAATAAATATGTAGCTTTCTCAGGTATCGACACAGACTCTGGGAGATTGGTATACCTTACAGAGTGGAACATAACTTATTCCCAAATAGAAACGAAGTGTTCATCATCTTGTTTTTGGTCTGGCAACTTGAAGTGTAATGGACATAAAGTGGATGAATTTATTAAAAGCGTTGAAAAGCACGTTGAAATGTTATCAAAATTAATTCACAAAAACTTGGTTCCGTATTACTACGTTCTATGTCTGAAGCAAAAAAACAAATTAATAATTTATTTAGTTCGCGACTTCGTACTGGGGAATGATATTTTTAGTATTACAAGATCAATTGGTTGGCATGTCGAAGGAATCAAAGTCGTTGTAAAGGGAATTTTGAATGCTTTATTATTTTTACAAAATAATGGCTTATCGCATGGAAATCTCGACGATACAACTGTTTTGATAGATAAGTTTGGTCAAATTAAATGTGCAGATTTCTTTTTAGTTTCACAATTTGTAAATTTGATAACTGAACCAAAACAAAGAAATGAGGATGTAGCTTGCTTAGGAAAATTAATAGAAAAATTATTACCCGTGCTGCCCTTTGATTTGAGAAACTTTGTGGATAAGTAATTTATCTGTAGAAATATAAGATTCATTTTATCAATTTAGTTCTCATTTAGATGTAAACATGATTTTCCTTTAGCTTCAAATCTCTTAGACCATCCGTTTTTGAGAAGGCTGTCACTTCATCAACCAATAACTCAGTCCAGACTAACAACGGAGTTTGAAATACTTCAGTATCACAAAAAGGGAGCTTTTGGTGACGTTTTAAAGGTAATTTGTACTTAAAGTACATACTTACTTATGCTTAATAGTAAAAAAAATTATACCTGTTTGTCTTCATACTTACATTTTTTGAATTCAACTTTATTTAAATTTTTTTAAGGTGCGAAACATATTGGACAAAAGAGAATACGCAATCAAGAGGATTCGTTTATTGACCACAAATGAACAGCTGTATGAAAAAATTATAAGAGAAGTCGAGCTGTTGTCACGACTCAATCATGTTAATGTTGTGAGGTATTTTAATAGTTGGATTGAGGAAATGTCCGAAGAACTTGAAGAATTAGTAAGTTTCAAAATAGCCAAGTTTATATATTTTTAGTACATATAACATTTAATATTTTAAGGAAAAATCAGGATATAATTTAAGTCATAGTACGAAATCATCATCAACAAACGATTTAACGAACATAGGAAAAATACAATCAAAAATACAAGGAAGTTTTGCTTTAAGTTGTGATGATTCAAATTCAGATGGTATAGAATTTGTGGATTCAGAAGGTAAAGTAATTGCTGAATATCATACAAAGATTTCGGATGACGAAGACCAAAAGCATAAAATTTTGAAACCTTTAAATCAAGTAATGTACATTCAAATGGAATTTTGCGAAAAATCAACGCTTCGACAATCAATTGATGATGATCTATATAAAAATACAGTCAGATCGTGGCAATTATTCCGCGAAATTCTCGAAGGATTATCTTATATTCATCAGCAGGGTATAATACACCGAGATTTAAAGCCAGATAACATATTTTTAGATTCCAGGGATCAAATAAAAATTGGAGATTTTGGTCTCGCAACAACGAATTTCTCACTTTTACATTCCAACGGTATAAATTGTTATAACACTATGCAGATATTTTTAAGGAATTAATTTTAAGTTTTCCTTCTTTAAAGATCAAAATGAATATAATATTGATTGCAAAAACAACTACAACAATTTAGGAACCGGGACGGTGGGAACCATTTTATATATTGCTCCCGAATTAACAAGCTGCGATTCAAAACCAATTTACAATGAAAAGGTTGATATGTATACATTAGGAATAATTTTGTTCGAAATGAGTAATCCCCCTTTTAAAACCGTGATGGAGCGCGTTAAAACCATTACTGCATTACGAAGTAAAAATATCACTTTACCCGAAAAAATGTTAAAAGATGCTTGGTATGAACAAAATGAGGTATGCTAATTTTTATTTTATAAGTAACTTTACAACACAATTTTAATGAATTTTACGACACTTTTTTAGATAATTCGCTGGCTTCTTAAACATGATTCTTGTCTAAGGCCTACTGCAAAAGAGCTTTTGAATTCAAATTTAATGCTTCAAGGGAATTTCAAAGCATATGTTGCAAGTGAAGCTAATTTTGTATAACTTTCTAACTACAGTTTTAAAAATAACGTTGATTTGATTGCGTCAAATATTTTAAATGCGAATATATAAAAAATAACGTATATATAACGGTTTACGTTATTTATACATAATATATACATAACTAATAGACAAATTAAAATTCTTTCAAAATCTATGTACATATCTAGATACATATAAATTTGTATAAAATATAGTAAAATGATACTAAATAAACTTATTCCTTATTCGAGCTAATGCATGTATTTTCTTATATTATATTAATTTTAATTAAGGTTTAAGTTATTGTAAGTTTATAAAATTTAATAAATTTAAAGGGTTAAATATTTGATAATATACCTACTTGTTTAGTTTTTTTATTTCCAAATTATATGTATGTACATACATATGTTCTTATATAAGTATGTAAGTTCCATCAAGGTCCTACAATAGAAAAATTTAGTATATTTCAAAAGAACATATGCAATGTGTATCAAAGTATCTGTACATTATTTATAATAATCGTGCAGAAACCGTTAGTTTCTTTTTGCTAAACCTTTCAAATATATTTCCAAAAGTAACAGGTCTTCAGGATGGTAATTAAAGAGTTCTCAATGTACGAAAAAGACAAAATATTGTAAACAAAATGCCTAAAGCAAAAGCAAAATACATAATATGCAAAGCAATTAAAAAAAATCAAAACAAAATCAAAAAATTTTAAAAATACAAATGTGCCGCTCATGTTCAGATAAGCTAAACGTTATATTTGAAATGTGTTTATTTTATGCATTGATACCTTGTCATGTGTCAAAAATATAAATTATTAAACGCAAGTTTTAATTTTTATATAAATGTTTTTACAAAATTTACTCTTATTTCAAAGAAGTCTTACTACCTTACGTTCCATTTACATATACGACAAATCTAACATTAAATCTGCAACAAAGTATTGCTTTGCAAAGTTTTTTGACGACAGTATAAAGGTTGAAGAAGGTTCATTTTTAATATCAAAATTTGATAGGTTTATAACCATACAAAAAAATGGCAACTTGTTACCAAAACCTTCCATTTAAAATGGATATGTATATAATATGTATGTAAAGAAATAAAAAGTAAAAACTATTGTTGTCGCACAAATTTTATTATAAGTAAAAAAATTGATCAGTTTTCATTTCTTAAAATTGTCCATTCTTTTAGTGTTGACAATATTATCTAATGACGTTGTTTTTGTTTAATAATTAAAGCTAAAAGTAATTGTGACTATAGTGCCTAACATAAGTCTATTTAAGAAAATGTAAGGTTAGAATTTTCAAAATGTAAAAATATTCATTTGTCCAAAGTAATGTCAAAATAGTAAATCAGTAATTATCAATCATAATTATTATATTTTATCAGCAATTTAAATCTTAAATTTGCAACATTAGCAGATAAAGTGAATTTTCACAATGTCAAGATTTTATAAAAAATATGTAATGTTTCTTTTTAGTTTATAGGTAAATTACCAAATGAAACGTAAGAAAATTAGAAAACCTTACGAATATGACATTCCTTGTATCTTTAATTTATATATACGTCATACGTTTACATCGAAAAATTACTGTAGTTGAAAAATTTCCTGTAGTTGAACATTTTAATGATATAATTATTTATATAAATACATGTTCTATATTTTTTTATGGTATGTATAATAGTGAATGCGTATCGTCTACGAAAACTGAACGTAATGAAAAAATAAATAAAAATTGTTTAAAAACGAAATATTGCAAAGTTAAAGTATATACATACTTATCTGCATAAAATTATATCTTTTTGCAGGGTTGAGTAAAATGATATTTGTTATGGGTATGAATGTTTTTATCCGGGTATGACTGTATTGTGTATTTATGTACATATTTTAAACTGATATAAACAATATGTATTTGGATTTGGAAGATATTTGATTTTTTTTAATTAGTAATACATATTGCAAGTTAATTTGGAATAAAGTTGTAAAATATACAAAATTTTGTTTATCTTTTCCTATATAATATGTATATGGAAACATAACCATTGAACAATTTTTTAAAAATTTCAAAACTTTTAGTGAAAGTCGCAACGAAAATTTGATAAACAATGGCCAAAGAATCAAATCGTGCTCGACAATGCGAAGAACTGGAAGTTATTAAGGTAATTTCCATACTTTTTTGTCCATATATTTAAAAAAGTTATTTTAGTGTATTTATGGAAACGATGTTGAAGATCTTCGATCTGGAAATTCAGGATGGAAACCGATAGATCTACGAATATTATTATTTCCGTCAAAAGTATCAGACATATCAGAGGCCTTTGTTGAAACAAAACTACGTGTAACATGCTCACACAAATATCCCGAAATGTAAAATTGTGCAATAAAGGTTGATTCGTGTATACCAGAGTTCAGTTCAAATCAATGACAATTCTAATTTTTCCGATTCGAGTATAGTATCAATTCTGTTAAATGAAGTGAACTGAACTAATATATGGGAATCAACCTTAAATTCAAAGAATATTAAAGTAATTATTATTTTTTAGAGCTCCCAAATTAAGTTTGGAAGAGACAAAAGGTATATCCGATTCGCTTATTGAAGATTTAATACAAGAACTAAATTTACAAGCCTCGAAACTCAAAGGAGAAGTAATGATTTTTGAATTGATTCAAACGGTTAAATCTTTCCTTCACAAACATAACAAACCCCCTAAAGGTAGTTTCTATGATGAGATGTTGCAACAAAAATTTAAACGTTATCAAAAACTGAAGGAAGAGGAACAGGAGCAACGAGACCGAGAGAGACAAAATTTATTAGAAGAGGTTGAAAGAAGGAAAGAGTTATTTAAAACTGAAGCTAAACCAACGCGCCTTATAAGCAATGAAATTTCTGCAAATGAATGTCCTGATCATGGTTACAGTGATATGATAAACTTTCCTAAAAGTGGTAAGCAGATAAGGCGTGGATGCTGTTTAGGTCACTCTCAAAATGGATATGTAGCATTCTCAGGAGTAGATATTGATACTGGAAAATTGTTTTATATAACAGAATGGCATATAAAATATTCGCAAATTGAAGCTAAGTGTCAGTTAAATTGTTTTTGGTCTAGTGATTCAAAATGTAATGGACACAATGTAACTGACTTCATAAACTGTGTTGAAAAACATGTGAGAGTTTTATCTCAAATGCATCACAACAATATAGCTGCATATGAACGAGTATTATGCTCCAATCACAAAGAATGTGTTATTATTAATTTAGTTCAAGATTTTGTGTTAGGAAATAATGTGCGTAATATAACTAATTCTATTGGCTGGTGCATTGAAGGGGTTAGAGTTGTTGCAAAGGAGGTTTTAGAGGCCCTTGTATTTCTCCATAATCGTGGAATATCATACAGTTATCTTTGCGATACAACTGTTTTTATAGATAATTTTGGAAAAGTAAGATGTACAGACTTTTCCCTCGTTCCACATTTACTTGAATTAACTACTGGCGAAAGGCAAAAGGACGGCGATTTACCTGCGTTGGGGAGTCTAATAGAAAGTCTGATGCCAGTTCTATCTAGTGATATGAAGGATTTCGTTGATAAGTAATTATTTAAAATTACCTTTAACTTCTCAATATCCAGCCCTTTTCATATGTATACAGGTGCAAATCAGATCGGACGCTGTCAGCTTCCGAATTACTCGAACATCCCTTTTTGAGGAGAACTATGTGTTTGGAGGAACAAAAAGATAACTTATTCAATTTTGAAACATCTAAAAATAATCTATTAAAAACTAACCTGAAGAAAGACATAAACAACTCTTCGCATAATGCTGATCGTTTATTAATACCACTTTACTCCAATTTGACAATAAATATACCGCAATCCAGACTGAGTACTGAATTTGAAATACTTCAATATCTTGAAAAAGGTGCATTTGGAGATGTATTAAAGGTGCAAATTTTTTTAAGCTAATTAACTATTAAAGTTTTTGAAGCTGTCCGAATTATTTTAGGTTCGAAATATTTTGGATAACAGAGAATATGCCATAAAAAGAATACCTCTGTCAGCTAAAAGTAGACAATTATATAGAAAAATGACCAGGGAAGTAGAATTACTGTCTCGTCTTAACCACGAAAATGTTGTAAGATATTTTAATAGCTGGATTGAAAATGCAATGTCTAATGAAGCAGATGATATTGTAAGATTTGTTCAATCAAAGATATGTGAAATGAAATATTGTTTTTTAAATTTAGGACAAAGAGAGCAATGAAGAAATGAAACGCTTATCGCCATATAATCCGGCAGATTCTGAAGAAAGCTCTTCAAGTATATGGAAGGGTTTTTTGCAAAATGTTGACGATTCGGATTCTGACGGCATAGAATTTGTTAACTCTGATGGAGAGGTTGTTGTTTATGATGAATGCGAAGCATCGGAGGATGAAGACAAGCATTACATAAGTTCACCTAAGCCTTTAAATCAAGTAATGTATATTCAGATGGAATTTTGCGAAAAATCTACACTTCGACAAGCTATCGATGATAATCTTTGCGAAAATACTGATAGATTATGGCGATTATTTCGCGAAATACTTGAAGGACTGTCTCACATCCATCAACAAGGCATTATTCATCGTGATTTGAAGCCTGCCAATATTTTTTTAGATTCAAGAGATCAAATAAAAATAGGCGATTTTGGACTTGCAACAACTAGTTTTCTAGCCTTGCAATCAAATGGTAATTCAGTTAGATTTTTGTTGTATATATATAATATATATATATATTTTCAAAACAATAAAAGTTATATTCTTTAAGAGCATGCTAATATTAGTAATGTGAAAGATGACGGAACTAACACCGGTACTGGCACCGTCGGTACAGCTTTATATGTTGCTCCAGAATTGACTGGAAATGCTTCGAAATCAACCTATAATCAAAAAGTGGATATGTATACTCTAGGAATTATATTATTTGAGATGAGTCATCCACCTTTTGAAACAGCCATGGAACGCATAAAAACAATTCTTGATCTAAGAAGCAAAAACATTGTTTTGCCAGAAAAAATTTTAAAAAACCCTCGATATGATCAAAATGTCAAGGTGTAATATTAAGTAGTATAAATTCATAATCATAAATACTAAGTGTTTATATGTAATTAATTTTCTTTATTTTCTAAAACTAAAGATTATTCAATGGTTATTGAAACATGATCCAAGTCAGAGACCAGCAGCGGAAGAACTTTTATTATCAGATTTAATGCCACCTGCACAATTAGAAACTAGCGAACTACAGGAAATTGTAAGACATATATTAGCCAATCCACAATCTAAAGGTTATAAAAATCTAGTTGCAAGATGTTTACAGCAAGAAAGTGATGATGTTTTGGAGTTGACTTACCACCTAGGTTTATTAGCAAGTAATCCAGTATTGGAATTTGTTAAGGTGAATTTTATCAAATTTAAAAAAAAAATTAAAGTTTTTGAAACACAAGTACTTTTAGGAAAAGGTTGTTAATTTATTTAGAAAACATGGTGGCGTAGAAATGAATGCGCCCCTCTTAACACCTCTATCGAAAAATATTTTTTCGAATTCTAATCCTGTTAAATTAATGACTCATTCAGGCAGCGTGGTGGTTTTGCCTAATAATTTACGAGTTCTTTTCGCGCGGCATGTTGCAATGTCTGGAATAAATGTGATGCGAAGATATTCAATAGATCGAACATACAGGGAAAAAAAAGTATTCAATTTCCATCCTAAACAAAGTTATGAATGCGCTTTTGACATAATTACGCCAAATCCTGGGAATTTTTTGGCTGATGCGGAACTAATATCAATGGCATATGAGATAGCTTCAGAAATTCCTCATGTTAAAGAAAAAAACTTGTCAATTCGCATGAATCATACCAACCTACTTAAATCTATCCTTCTATACTGTAACGTTCCGAAACATTTGTATAGTCAATTGTTTGCCAATTATTTGGACTATATTGATGGCCGTTTATCCAAATTTCATTTTACATCTGCTGTAGCTACTATTTTACAAACATCTAAAACAAGTGCTACAACTTTGATTGATCTGCTTTTGATAGAATTCGCAATGGGTGGACCAAGGGGTCACATGGACAACACAGTACTTAAAGCTCTTGTAAAAGGAAAAGGTGAATCAGCAAAATTGGCTAAGAATGCTTTAAGAGAACTAGAGTGTGTGGTTTCCCTAAGTCAAAGTTTAGGTGTGAATTGTCCAATTCATATATGCGCCGGTCTTCCTATAAGTTATGATAGGTAAGAAACGCATAATTTAAATCTGTAGATACATGCAATGTTTTCTGTTTTTTATTATAGAGCCTGTTCCGGGGGAATTGTTTGGCAAATGATTGCTATTTTGAAACTAAACAGAACTCCAAAACCTTCTGTGCTGGCAGTAGGGGAGAGATATGACACAATGTTAACTCAGTTTCAACAACAAGCCCATGGATGGAATGTTAGTATTCCTCATAGAGGAATTAGTGGTGCAGGATTTTCATTTTATTTAGATAAATTAGCAACTTTGATTGGTTCAGAATGGAATGAAAATTTTCGTACAATCGATGTAGTAATATGTGTATCAGGCACTAAACCTCCTTTGAAAGATGTAACTTACATTTTGAAATTGCTATGGTCAGCAGGAATAAGAAGTGGAGTAGTAGAATCTGCAGGTTTTGATGAAGTAGAAGATTTGGCGAAAGATCTTGGTGCTGCACACGTTATATTTTTAGGAGAAAATGGAGTGTTAAAAGTTAGGTCTTGGGATCGTGAACATTTTCAAGAACGCCATGTTACTCGATCTGAACTAGTTGATTACATACAAAAATTACTGGCTCGAGATAATTTTAATGTAGCAGAAGTTGGTATTTTGCACCAGATCACTGATAAGCAAGTTGCCATTAATTCGAATTTATGTCCTGGTACAAAAAATCAAGATTTTATTAGTGGGCTCCCAAATGTGGACGTAACCTTTTTAACTCAAGAAAAAATTACTGCTAATATGAGAAAAAGATTAGAAAACCAGGTATTGTTGATTTTAAGTTAAAATTTTCAAATAAAAAGTTCATATTATTATTCTTATTTCAAGGTGACTCAACACATGCAGAGTACACTTGTTAAATTTAGCAGAAAAGAATATTTTCTGGTTATGATTGTTGATTTGCCATCTATAGTAGTCAATGCAATAGTTGGTGCCATAAATCCTAGGAAATTATCTTTAAAAGAGACTGAAAAAGAAATTAGTTATATAGTGGAAAGGTTTGTAAATTATAAACATCTATTTTATTATATTAAATTGTTGATTAAACGATATATTATTAATTTAGATTTCCTAAACATAAGAGATATATATCAGACATTTTGGATGATGTGATTGATGCTATGTCAGTGGAAAAAAATACACCGATTGTTGCATTGTACAGCACAATAGATTCATATTTTCGCATTATTATTTGATAAAAATTTTATATTATATTCATTTTATTAAAATGTTTTAAACTTAAATTGTTTTATTGAATAACATCTTACTCTACAGTTTTTCTCAATTGGTATAGTTGTAGGAACGGAATGTCACGCAAGAGATGTGAGAAACACAATTAACAAGCATGAACATCTAAAATTATTAGATAGTATAATATTCATTTTAAATATTTTAAAAATTGCAGATTCGGGAAAATATCAATAAATCAATAACTATTTTTATAACACCTCTGTAATACACTGTATAACTTACATGCGTACTGCACATAAAATTCACATTTGCGCGAAACCTTCTTTAGCTATTGTTATGAATAAAATAAATTTGCAAGATCGTTTATATATGTATATATATGTTTAAAATTAAAACGCTTGTTCATGTTTACATTTCATTTCCAACCAATCGAACTATTTGGTTTTTTAGGTGCGTCATCCCAAATAACTCCAGCTGGCTCCGGTGGATACGGTGTTGAATTGGGCGGAGCAGTGGGAATACTGCTCGGGTTAGTTGCTGGAGAATTAGGATAGGGCGTTGGGGGAACAGGTGATGGCGATCTAGGATATGGAGCTGGAATATTGGGATTTAAAGGTCTTTGAGGGTAAGGAGATGGATTTAAATTTGGATTTGTTGGATACAATCCCGTTGGGGGAGATGCTGGACTGTTATTGCCGTTATGAGCTCCATTCTGCTGCTGTATGCGGAATACTGGATATTTTGGCACATAATCAATACTCTTCATAAACTTATCGCTAATATCGTTGTTTTTGAAAACACTCTTTTTATCGGCATCGTCTTCCAAAAGTGGTGGAGCTGAAATTACAATATATTTTAATGAGATTCTTTTTGTATCACTAAACAATTATATATTTACGTATTGCCCTGATGCTAGCTATACCAGGCTGTCCCATTATTACTTCGCTAACTTGTTCACTAAGGCTTGCGTACAACGGTACAGTACCAATAGTAATAGGAAAATTTATTTCAACATTTTGATGAATTCCAGAAAATTTAACAACTACCATAACAGTATATGTTACATGAATAATTGAACAAGTTTCTAAGGTAGATGGAACAGTTGAGGGAATTTCAAGAAAATCATTTAATTCTTTGCTTTCTTGCTTCGGTACGCCGTCAATTCGCTTGTCGCATATTTTGATGTTATTTAATCTTTCTTTTGTTTTAGGAGTTCGACAGCTAAATTTAATTGTTTTCATAAGTTTAATTTTAGATTCAGAAACATCAGTATTTGATTTATTTTCAATATTCATTTTGAAGTTTATTTTTTGACCTGGAGCGTAACCAGAAAATGGAATCGCAACAGTGATTAATATTGGATCATTATTACCACAACAAAGTCCGCATAGGAATGTTTTTTCTTCTTTTTTATCCATTGGCATCTAGTGAAAAATGTATTAATGCAAAATTAAAAACTTGTTTTTCAATAATTAAGTAAGAATACATACTGAATATGCATGATTTAAATTTAGATCCAGTGGAGCCAAAACTGTGAATGGCTGCTTGAATACATTATCGTATCTTAAAGGTCGATCTATTGTTGCTACCACTTCATATCGTACTTGTCCAAGTGAACCATTAATTGATGACGGTACATTTGGCGGAATAAATCCAGCGAAGGTGAATAGATAACGCCCAGCTGGAAGTTCTAGTGAGCCACCACCACTTTGTCCGTAAACATACGTTTGTGTATGCAAATAATGATCTGTTGCTGAAAAGACTTCTTCAGAATCCTCTGTTTTTCCTTCATCATTTGTTCGTTGAACTTTTTCTGTCCATCGGACTTCGGCGGAACCGTTTATTGTTATATGAATAGCTGTTTTTATTAAATATTATTATTATAATATTGTAGAAACAGAAAATATAGGAACAAAATTATATTTAATAATATAAATGTATAAGAAGTACTTTGTATTGAGGTAGATTTGATATTAGGGTTTAGAAGACAAAATGTTATTTTGTCTAACTAACTTTTTATATTGATGTAGCAGAATTCCTAGTTAAATTAGAAACTCGATTAAATTAACGCAATAAATTCTATTAATTATTATACAAAAGAATATTTAATGATACATGCATATGATTTATGTTCTTACAATATGTTAAGACACTTTCAAGAGATAATTTCCGACACCCTATTTAATTTTTTTTTTTATTCTTTTTTATATGTACATAATGTAGTTATATTATAATAACCTTCAAAATCTAAAAGAATAATTTTGAACAGAAAACTTGATGAGTAAGTTATATATGATCAAATTAATTACTTTTTCTTTAAATTATGCGTAAGCTTAATCCTATTCACAATTGTATTATGCGTAAGTTAACTTCATAAAAAAATTATATTAAAAAATTATTTTTATTTTCAATGAAAAATTTATTTATTACAATTTATCATTATTATACTTTTTTTTATATACCTACATTTATACCTACAATTATAGTGTAAATTTAAGTATATTTATACCTACATCTAATGTTCTTTGGCCTTGTAGTTATTATTTCAACGGTTCCGGAAATATTTTGTCCAGCAAAGTAAACTCCACTGGGGTTATTATCGAATAATACATTACAAGTTGTGGACATATTATTAATAAACTTAAAATTTATGTATTTTTAAATAAAAGCTTTAAAAACAATACTAGTAGTTAAAATACAAAAGAATTAAAATACAAAAATAATAACTTAAAGTTTTTTAACCAAAATTAAATGGTTTTATTATTAAAATTTTTTAAATAATCCGAGATTGTTATATTTTGCAGCTTTTCTTTACTAAGTTTAAAAACAAACTGAATAGAAATTTTTCATTTATGGATAAAATAATTTTCGGGATTGAATTTATTTAAGAGCAGTTCAATAGTATATAAAATATCGTAGAATGGGATCATTTTATCTGAATTTTAATGGTCTTACAGATTGAAAAATATTTAGGTAACTAAATTGAAGACTACAGGCAATAATTTTCTGAAAATAAAAAAAATAAAATGAGGAATTTATTGAATTATAAAAATCTAATTATGTCTTTTGAACTTTAATAAGAGTAAAATTAGTAAAATCTAAGTTTAAGTAAAATTTAAGTCTCTAAGCCTTCTATTGAGAACGAAAATGAATGCATGCATACATACGTATATACATAAACATTTAAGATTCCTTTACGTTATAAGTTTTTATAGAAAAGTTTAGAAAATAACAATTTGAACAAATTATTTTTGGGCAAAAGTCTATACGACTGCTAAAAGTTGGATTTATAAGGCACTAAAAAGTATTATTTAGGAATTAAAGCACTTATTATTTAAGTTGTTAGCTAAATTTTTGATATATTTGAAAATTAATTTACTATTTTTTAAAATTCAACTCTTTCATTCATTCTAAAAGTTTCGATTTTTATTTTATACATGCAAATATTAGGTGTTTGCCACTCGAAAATAATAATTTGTTGATCACATTTTTACCATTTCACTGTATACATATTTCTATTTTTTGAATGAGATAAAATGATTTGTGTACATACATATATGCGGCTACATCACAGCTAATATAACAAATCTCTGTGGTTACGAAAATGTGTGTTTGTTTGAAATTACTTGTATATCTTAAGAATTGCCGAATGTGAAGAAACAAAAAAGCTGTAAAATAAGAAACCAAAAAAAATTAAAGAATTTTTAATTAAATCAATCGGTGAAAATATGTTTATATCACTTTATTTTATATATTTTGCTATATATAAGATATGTTTTGTACATATATAATGTAAAACGTCATTATGATATGAAGATCAGATCACGTTATTTATATATATATGTATATAATATATGGATGTATACATATTACTCATTACTATATATGTACACATATACAGATATTCATGATTTCTCATAGCTTAATTAAGTTGATCTAAGCAGTACAGTATATACAAACTAAAGTATGCTACATAATTTTACTCAATTATACTTACCAACTATATGTGTATATGTATATAAAATTTTCATTCAATCTTCAATGGTTTAATGAATTAAACACCATTGTATGAGTATTATATAATAACGCCTATAAAATAGAGAAAAAGTAGTTAAGAAATATATAGATTTTTTCAAAAAAAAAAAAATATATATATATATATTAGAATCGCGGTATATGCAAAAAGTTCTAATAGTTTGTAATATTGAAAGCTTTTAATGTTATTCTTTAAATTATATAATTATCGAAGGCCATAGGTCGAACAAGTACATATTTTTATATAGTATATGTATATATGTATGTATATATATACTTATTATGTATATCAAATTGAATTTTATATTTGATTGTAAAGTAACTTTAAATAAATGTAATGAATTTCCGTAATATATTTTTGCTCATATATTGGCAATAATAAAAATGTTTGGGAACCGCGATATAATTTAAGAGCGGTATCATATCAAAAGTATGACGTAATAAAATTTATTTTAGAAACTATTCTACCTGTAAAAATTATAATGCTGATCTCGGTTTCAAGTTTTACTCAACATACATTCACGCATATATTTACATATATGTGGAATAGGAGCCTATAGTATGTGATAACATATGTATGAGAAAAATACGTTAAGCAGTGGAAAACAAAAAATAATACCTATCTTTTATCCAGTTTTAACGAAATAGCTTTAGTATAAAACAATAGGTAAATTTAAATAGAAAATAGAAAAAAAAATTTTTTTTTGGTTTGGTTGGTTTAAAAAAGATTAATAATAAATTTTTTACATTGTTATATTAAATTTATGAATGCAATTATATAGGACAAAATAACATATTTAGTAGAATTAATAGAATTGAACATGGGTTTTTTCTTGTACAAAGAAGAGCGAGTTTAATTTCAAGGGATAGTAGAAATTTTTATACTATTATCTTCCATATACAAGTTTAAATTTGGAAAATTATCAAACTATCAATCCAATATATTATCGAAAATAAGAATTTATGGGTATAAACAATGGGTAAAACCTCTTTGATACGGATTTTAATTGATTAATGACATAACAATAATAATTTTTTTCAAGTATTTTAAATTAAATGAATTATGATTTGTAAAAATTTTCGCAGTTATGCTAAACGTTTTTATAATTTTTGTTAAACATAAAGAATAAATTCTCATTCTGACACTAAATTTTCATAACAATAGCCTTACTGGTACAGGATATTAACTACATTTATATCCATAAAATGTTCCTTAACATAAACCTTTTTAACAAGTATGTCTAACACTTAAAATTTTAAATCATAACATAGTTTATTAAGCAGTTAAGTCTATAATTAGTTTAACCCATTTTTCAAATAATATTCTTAATTTATTTAAAATTAATTTGGTGGTATATACATAAATGTCCCCAAATAAATTAATTTAGGCTTGATATAAAAATATATTTTTCTTTTTTAATTCTGTTCTACTACTATTCTTTTTGTTTTTTCAATAACATTGAAACCAATATTGTACAGTATAGAGCAATTAACTTCTAGTCTAATGAAATAAATAGATAATTACTGTTTTATTAGACAATTAAATTATATAATTACAAATATCATGTTAAATATTTGATCAATAACTCATAATATATATTACATAAATAAATATATTACAGTTTGTAGCATATTGAACAATATTTATGAATTGCTTAAGAAAATAGTTTTTTTAAATGTACAATTTACTAAATGCTTAGTAGATAAATTAGAATTATATATACACACTTATTTTACATTGCATACCATATTTCAATTAATTTCATATATGCTATAATGATGTCATGGCATAATATACTTAATCTAATTTTGAAAAGAAATTTTAAATTTAGTATATATGTATGTATGTATGCACATACACCAAATTCAAACAATAATTTAAGTAATTGGACTCATCACTCAAAAAATTTTTTTGCAATAATAAAGACTATTTGAATTCTTACAATGTTTCTGTTAAAATAATTAATTAATAATAGCGGAATGTTCAAGTTATGGTATATTATTGCATATATATAGGCGTATCACATCGTGTCTATAATGATATACATAATATTAATATACTATTTTATGTATGATTTATAAGAAAAATTTCTTAATTTTCAATATTTGTCATAATATCTAAATTATTTATATTCTTAATCAGATTTTAGTTATTTTGTTGAATGAAATTATTTCCATTCAAAACAATTAATTACATTATTGTTAGAAAAAATCTAATCAGAATGTATATAAAAGGTAATATCCATATAACAGTTTAGATATTCTTCAAATTATTATGGCAAATAATATTTTATATTTTCAGTAAATTAATTTTAATTTTCCATTTAAGTGTACTAATCAAATACTCATAATTAAAATCAGTTGATTCCTATAAAATTTCTTAAAAAATTTCAAAAAAATTTTTAATTACCTTATATCGAATTTGCTTTAATTTTAATTCTTGTAAATTTGTTTTGTATAATTAATAATTTAATATTTTACGGTCACAATAGAAAAAATTTTCTCAAAAATATTTCGTTAAAATAATTTTTTTATAGCAAAACAAAATTGTACATTTTATACGATATTATAAAGTATAATTTGTTATCCTGCAAAACCATAAAGTTTCTTAACCTTACATATCGTATTATAAAATTAAGTACCCACCTGTACAGTTTATACGTACACCTTTATAAACACATTAATTTATGCTGTATTAAACAATATCCTACATTGTTAACCAGACAACTGGTCACCAATTTATGTTTATGGTTATAAGTATTTAATAAATTTCAGTGATTTAATTTCTATTCATTAGAAAACCAAAATATAAACTTAGTATATATGTACATATTAAATGAATATTGTACGTTCAAAATACAAACAATACATAATTTAAAATTGTATATAGAAGAAGTATGTAGTTTATAATATATTTGAAAGTATAAATACATATATATATATATATACATATATATATTTCTTTTTCCTATTATATACGTGTAAATATTTATTAATATACTTATGTACTTGCTCAATAATTCATATATAGAATATATATATCACACATAATTTTGTATACATACACTTATACGGTAAAATTTATGTATATAGGATAAAAATTTTTCTACTCTAAAAAAGCTTTTTTATTGAAAGCTAAAAACAAATACTTATTTTGTTTTGAAGTTAGCAATCATATGTTTTTTTTTTTTTTTTTTACGGAAAATTCGTGTAAGAGAAAATCATGCGGATCTCACATCATACATGTATATAACGTGTTCATATATATCTTATTATACACATAATATTAATATATTAATACACACCCTATATATAGGTATGTATATATATTAATATGTGTATGTAATAACCGTACACATTAATTTTAGACTTCCTTTTAAAAAGTTCTCATATGTCATCGTCTTTAGGTTATACGAGTATATAGATATGTATGTATGTATACATACAAAACAAAAATTATAAAATTTGATCCTGTTAATATTTGGGTTACTGTTAACATACTGTAATATTATATACATAGTGCATACTTAATATAGGAGTTTGCCATTTTGAAATCTAATTTTTATGACGTAAACAAGCAAACATGTATAATATAGGCAGGATATAAAATAAAAAATATTAAATAGTTACAAGTACATGCATATATAAATTATTTTAAAAATTATTTTTCAATTTAATTGCATATTAAAAATAATCACATTTCTTAAATGCCGAGTGGAATATCTACACAACTTGTGCTATTATAATAATGATTTACTATAAATTTTTTCATATACATATTGAAATTAGAATGAATTGAAAATAATTTCGAAAACTAGTATAAATTAATTCCGAAAATATGTAAATAAGTAATTTTAATAAATATAGCATACTGCGCTATTATAATAATTTTAAATTCTATTTATTATTCATATAATTATTATTATATAGAATTTTCGAATACCACATTTACACATCCAATATTCTTTTAATTATATTTACCATAAAAATAAGTAAACAAATATTTTAACATATAAGTGTATTATGAACGTACATGGAACAGTTATAATATCATCCTGAATTTTTCTTAATTTCTAATGAAAAATTGTTGTGTTTTTTATTTTTTTTTTGTTTTATTATAATAAGGACGAAATATGTATATCATATTTGTCATCGTATTCATATACTTTGTATATACTTTTTTTAGATTTTTATGTATGCATTGTATATATAATAATTAGTATATATCTGATATTCGCACATTTAATATTAATTTTTTTTTTCTGATTTTTTATTATATACCATATACATATATTTTTTTTTAATAGGAAAAAAAAAATCATATATAATTTTTTTATTAGTATATTTTTTTCCGTCATCGTGGCGCCTATACACTCTTTAAAGGATGTATAATATCGGCTTGAAAAATCTATAATATTTACATGAAAAAAAAAAATAAAAGAGAAAACCAAAACAGAAATACATACGAGTACATACATATAAAGTACACATATATATTATTGTATAATAAAATTAAGGACATTATAATTTAGAATGTTCTTTAGATGAAAGCTAGAGTAAATATAAATTCTTTTTTTGTTTTTTTTTTTTTGTATTTTATTGTTTTTTTTCTTTATTGTACCTATATAGACTTAAAATAATATTATAGTGTTTTCATTTTTCTATTAGAATTACTCTGAATATCAGTTAAATAGTTAAAAAAATAAAAATTATAAATTTTAATTTGTAGAAAAATCATCAGATTCTTAATATTTAAACAATAAAAATAATAAATAAATTAAATTAAATTAAAAATAATGTTAATAATTAAATAATAAGTATAAAATTTATATAATATTTTCCGAGAAAGGTTGTGAAAATACAAAAAAAAAAATTGGAAATCAAAGAAAAAAAAGATTTACAAAATAAAATTTTTAATTCTCAAGGATATTCAGATTTAAATAAGCATCGCATTGAAATTTTTTTTTGTTGTTCTATTTTTTCTTTATCATTTTATTTTTATAATATATCTTAATTACGATTACGTAAAATGATAAAAATCAATCTGAATTAAATGGGAAATTTAAATAATATTTTCAAAATAAAATAAATTTCTTTATAATTTAACAAAAATCCTAAATAAATATTTAAAGTACGAGTATAAATTTAATAGAGCAAATATTCAGTATAATAAAAAGGAAAAATAAATTTATAATAAAAAAAAAAAGAAAAATAATCGTCGTCTAGTTAGAAAAAAAAATTAAATTATTAAAAATAGAGATATTAACATTTAAATATTTAAAGATAACATTACACATACATACACACACACACATATATATATAAATATATATGCCAACTGAGTGCCTTATATCCTTTGAAAGAAATCCTCAGGGTGTTTATTATGCGGGAGAGGAATTATCCGGTTCTGTGGATCTATCAATTGATAGAAACAAAAGAATTAAAGGTATACATATATATATATATATATATATATATATTTGAAGTGAAATTAATTAATGTTTGAAAACAATAAAATATTTATTTTAAAATAATTAAGTAATTTATATAAAATTTGTATGTATATACATGCATATGTAATCCTTGTATATTATAATAATTTTATTATGAAAAAAAAATTCTATTTTGTATAACAAATATACCTATATTATTACAAATATAAATTTTTATAAAAAAAACAAAATTTTTTTATAACATACATTCATATATAAAATGTGCGAAATTTAATAATTTTTAAATATATACATACAAACATAATATGCATATAAATTTTATGTGTAATAAAAATAATATTATGTATTCCTTTATTAAATTAACTCATATTCATATATACATTCATAAATATTATGTATGTCATATGTACTAAAATATATTATATGCTTATATATTTTTAAAATATATAAAATATTTGTACACAAAGTATATATAGAGACACAGAATTTCTCTTATATTTTTGTTTTTATTTTTTAGAAAAAAATTTTTTTTTCTGTACATGTGCTCTCTACTATCAGTATATAGTACCTATATACATTTAAAAACTTCAAAGTTCAAATAATGTCTGAGAAATAGTTATATATTTTTAATATAATGTTATACAGTATTAATATTCTTGGAAATTTCTTCTAAAATTTATAAGCATATAACTTTAATAAATACAAGTTATATACTATCAGTATATAAAATCAGTAATCACATTATTTATATAACAAATAATCACATCTTAACTAAAAATTGAAGTATATGTATATTGTGTATTATGCAAAGCATTTAGTTTGAGATACAGTAAAACCTGGATAAATACATTTTCAAATCAATAGCCTCATCTCTGCATATTTCGTATATGTTTACAACTATTTTCTGTGAACATACTGTTATTTAAGAAGTAAGGAAACAAAATTTTGTGGCAGAATGGTCACTTTATGTAAAGTTAAACTCAGCTTTTTACACTATATTATTATTATAACAGTTCTGTTTCATTTACAAAATAATGAATAAATGCAATTATATAACATATATTTAATTATAAAATTACTTGTGTGATTAAAAAACAATTAGGATTTGACAATTATTTTCAATATAAAAAAATATAAAGTCATTATATAGAATATAATACAACCGGCATTGTATAGAATGTAATATGCACATATGTGCATGAATTGACCTCTTTCGAACTTATATTTTTATTATATCATATAGTATAGTAAATATTAAGAAAAACATTTTAGGAAAAGTTTTTCGTTATTTACTTTTGAAGAAATCTCATAATAAAAAATTTCAACTGTATTGAACAAAAAAATGCTATATGTACATATATATATATATGTAAGTACTCAAAATAAGTTAAGATAAAATAGATATATACACAATGTGTGCTATCTGAGTTCTACACGTGTTACGCAAGGGTGTATTGTGCACATATTATCTGTAACATTTACTTATACATAGTATAGTGAAGTACATTATGTACTATCAAAGATAATGGAGAGCATTTAGGCTATTTTAATTACAAGCATTCTTTGTCATATATACATACATACATACATATGCACGTATACGAAATGATTATTCCTTTGTCAATATTTATAAGACTTAATTTTCCTTTGAAAATATTTATAATGAGCTATTTATATATTTTTCCCGTATATTCAAACAATATTGAATCGTTCAGAATTATAAAATTAAAATAATTAATTTTATTTCGAGCTAATCAACATGTTAATTAAGTATACAACATTTTTAATATATACGAGTATGTAAAAATTGTTGAAGTACAAATATAATTTTGTATTCATACCATTTTTATATATGCACATAATATGTTTTTATTTTATAAAATAAATTGTAAACCTAATATTATGTAAATATGTAGATATGTATGTGCTGTCCATTATATGTACTACATATGTATTTAATATGAAAACATGTTTCATTAAAAGTGAGGAAAAATATTTATTAAAATTTGTGTATACAGTCATCGTTTCTGTTTACATTAATTTCTGGAATTGCCCCTTAACAAATTTATGATGGTGCGCGAAATTATGTCATCGCTTTATTTAATAGCGAAAATATTTAATGAAATTTCTATTAAAAAGAAAATACTTTCCCTAGACATTTAGTATATATATATATATATATATGTAGCTTAGGTATATATATGTATAGAATTAGTATATAATGCAGAAGAAAATGGATTTTTTTCCTGTAAAATTGTGAAATTGTAATAATCGGTTTATTGCCATTGGTGGAAAATAAAATGTACTTTCCCGAAATTTTTTTCATATAGATACTTATATGTATAAGGATTTTGAGTCATCATCCTTATTTGTAGCACATATTTTAAATAATTGAATAAAAACTTGATAATTAGTTTTAATTTACTTGTCGGTCCCATTGTCCATTTGGAAAAAGTTTTTAGAGTACATTCTTAAAGGTAGAATACTAAAATTTATTAGATTTTTGGTATAATAAAATTTTCTAAGACGAAATTTCTTTTTATCTCCGTCATTTTAAAAATTAATGCTTTAAAATGTTAATTTTTATCTATCTATTATACTGATTTCAGATACACGGGTACCTGACTCTTTCATCATAAAATACCACGACTCCAGGTCATTAACCCAAAATTGCCGTTGAAATATTAACATTTACCTTGAAATTGTGTTTTTTAATTTTTGTTTTTTCCTACATTTCAATTGGATAATCAAAAATCAGATGAACTTTATAGTATTTCATTCATATACTTAGTTGAGAATTGCTTTTTCTATAATTTGCTTGTAAACTTGTTGCATTTGCGTTATCTTATCTATTTTAAATTAATTTAAACATTTCCAAGTTCATGTGCAGGAGCATGAAATAAATTACTAAAAAATATTTGCCCTTGTATTCAATAAGTTAGTGAAACTACCTCTAAATGTCAAATTTAATAATTTTAAGTAGGATTTTAATAAGAAACTATTTCATATCTCAATATTTATAAATAACTATAGATTTTATATACATACTTGAATTAATTTTGCTTAATTTTTTTTTTAATTTCAACAATTTATTTAGACATGCAAACGGTTATAATATGCATACATTTTTATATAAATTATAACACTCTTGAAAAAATGTTGTTGTTTTTTTTTTTCATTTCCATTAACATGTTTAATCAATTAAAAAATAATTAAAATTTTATATTGGTTATTTAGCTATACATATAACGGTTAATGGTTTTGCTAAAACAAGATGGTTAAGAAAAGGATATCCACATAATAGTGAAAGAGGAGTGTTTCGAGGATATCGATCATATTTATCATCACGGTCCTATGTACTTGGTAATTCATCAGAAAATTCTTCAACAATAGAATTATTAGCTGGAGAATATTCATATTCGTTTCATGTTGCATTACCTAGTAATATACCAACATCGTTTGATGGGAAATATGGTTATATTTTGTATGAAATCGTTGCTGCCATTGACCGTCCTGGACGTTGCACAAAAAATTTTCGTTTACCATTTACTGTTATACATCCAACAGATTTAAATATTGACCCAATCTATAGAGTAAATATTATAAAATTTTTATTTTAACATATTTTCTTTTTAAATTAAATATTAAAATTAGATAAATATTGTTTTTTTTTTTTGTAGGTACCACTAGATGTATTCGATCAACAACAATTTTGGAGTTTTTGTTGTCCAACTGGACCATTATGTGTTAAATTTAATACAATTTATAATGGATATGTACCTGGACAAAAAATATTATTTGTTCTATTTATTGAAAACGAATCATCAATTGATTTTTTAGATACAATTGTTGAATTAAATCAAGAAGTTATATATGAAAGTCGTGAACCGTTACACGATTATCGTATTGATAAAAGTCAAATAATATCAAGAAATTTTGGCACAATATTACGATGGAGTCGTAAAGTATTTCAAGGGAATTTACATTTACCATCAATACCTCCAACTAGTCTGATACCAGATTGTCCAATTAGTATACAATATTCAATTAAAATAATTATAAAACCACGTCATTTTCATCAAAATTTTAAAATGAAAGTTCCAATAACAGTTGGAACAGTACCAATTTTAGATAGTTCACCAAATCTTAGACGTAATAATACATCTCATATACTTTCTGAACAGGATACAATAAATAATCTTCAATCAAATATATCAGAATCGCCAAATAATAATGCATTAATATCATCTTCAGAAAATGAAAGTCCACCCGAATATGTACCAATGAGTAATTATATAACTATATATTAAGAAATTTAATTATATCAATAAATAAATATATGTATGTATATAAAAACAAATTTTTTTTTCAAATTTTAGTACCGCCATCTTATCAGGAAGCAATAGCCTTAAGTCAAAAATTTATTGATGATGCTGAAGATCCATTGGAAATAAATCAAAAAAATAATCCAGATTTTGTACCAATGTATCCAGTTTATCAATCTAATGAAGAAGAGGATTCATCTGAAGAATGAACATAAATAGAAATTAAAATTTATAATTAAATAAGTAAATGAACGCACTTTTGCACTTTCTGTATTTTTATTACTTACATTAATATATTTACAAAAACAAAACAATATAGCTAAAAAATTATGAAATAATAAATTACGAAATTCATGTAATTTTATTATTGAGCTTTAAATTTGTGATTTTTGAAATTTAATTCATAATTAATATAAAAAAAAACTTAATAATTATTTGTAGAAATCAATTTATTTTTTTTTCACTTTTAAAATTGTATAACACTTAAATAGAAATAATCAATTGAACAAAATAAATTTACGAATTTATGGGAATAAATACTACAAAAAAGAAATAAATTTATAAAAATTAATCTTCAAAAATTTGATATTCGATGAAAATTAAATATAGATATTAAAAAAGAAATTTTTATAATATAGAAAATTTTTGCACGAATCCAGCACAATAATTATTATTTTTGGCATATATTTATATTGTAGAACATTAAAAATAAATGACGTTTAGGTACAGGACTTCCTCAAATTACTTTTAGTTAAGCAAATAAAAAATTTGTTAGAATATTAGTTTTATTAAAATTTCCTTATCTATAATTAACATATAATATATGTATGTATAACATGGTTCTGTAATAAATTTAATATTCCTTATACATATACATATATATATTCGTTTAGATAGAATAAAAAAATTTTAAGAATTTTATAATTGTAATTCTCTCCCCATTCTACTATATAACATTATTTTGATCTCCATAATATTAATTTTCTAAATAAAATTGTTATACATTTTCTCTTTCTCTTTTACATTAACTTTAAAACGATAATATTTCCCCATTATTCGAATTTTTATATTCACAATTCACAAAATTATAACATTTTTTACATTAATATACATAATTGAATATATTATATAATATGGATGTATGTATATATAATATTGCATGTAAATTTTTTGTCGTTTATCTTCGAAAGCTTTTCTTTTACAAATTATAAACTATAAAAATATACTACAGAATGTATAGAATATTTTTTCTAGGTTATGTTGGTTGGTTTTTTTTTTAAAATTTTGAATATCTAATAAACTTTAAATCGTTAATTTAATTTTATAAACTAATTTATAAATGAATATTGCATTATTTTAAAATATGTTATTACTAAATTAAATATTAACTTTCTATATGTAACAAAATTTTTCAAAATTTTTAATAATATTATTGAAATTGCATTTAAAAATTTTTTTCAATATCTTTATTGATTTCATTAATATTCATTATGAAACTGGTATATACTAGCTAATAACTCGTATATGTACTACAAATGGAATAAATAATATTGTGACGTATTTGAAAAGATTAATGAAATAAATAATATAAATTTAAAAGTAAAAGTTATTAGTCAGCGAAATTATGTTGAATTAAAGCAACTATCATACTTTTTTCTAATATGTAAGGATCAATTTTTTAATACATATTTGTATAAGTAAATTGTATTAAACGTAAACGATAGGCTCGTCACCTACCTAGTAAATTCAATGACATAAGAAACTGGTTCATGGTTATCTATAATATATCGTGTACCAGCCCTATGCTCCTCTAAGGACCGAAGTAGGATAAAAAAAAACAATTGCATTAGAAAATATTGCTGAGAAGTTAGGATTTTCAAAGAATAGGTATAAGAAATGTATAGAGATATAATAAAATATATATAATTCGCTTTAATCTATTGTGAATTACCTTATAGTTCATATACATATGTATTTTTTTTGTTCTGCGTTAAAAAAAAGTGAAACGTTAAGAATCTAGCTAGTTAAATTCTATAAAATGTTTGGAAAATTATATTTTAGCTAAAATATTTATATAATTATTAACTCATACATATGTATACATAAATATTTAGAATTTTTGACATATTTTCATATTTTTTTATTTTATTTCATATACTGTCTGAAATTATTTGCTTGGTAAGAAAAATTGGTATAAATATGAAAAAAAATCATTGAATATGGCTTTTTTTTTTTCAAAATAATCTTATAAATTTATTGTTGATCTTGTTAGCTTATACATAAGGATTGAAACAATATTGCTGAATAAGTCAATTTGTCGTTAGATCTGCATTTTGGTAGAGACCCATATAGTTGATGAAAAATTTTGATATTATTATTTTATTAAATTTAATTTCAAATTTTTAGAAAAATTCATTTCTATTACCTAACATATGTACAAGCATTTACGTATTTTTTTACCATCAATTTTTATTTTGAAATATATAAATTAAACTTATAGAATTATCAAAAGAAAAAAACAGATATAATCTGTTATATAGGAATATTATATATATTTACCATATATTAATATAAAACCAAAAATTTATGAATATTAATAAAGTGCCATGAATAAGAATTTAAAATTTTTGCACAAAAATTTCATGTATCAAAAAAAAAAAAAATAGTATAAATAGAACAACAATTCTTAAAGTAATTCAATTTTTAAATCATTTTTTTTTAAATAATGTAATAACTAATAACTATATATATAAATATTTATAGTTTAGTTTCAGCTTAAAAAATTTAATATGTATTTATATGTATGTATATATTTATAAACTTTGTATACATGAATATGCAACAAGGAAGCGTTTTTAAGGCTATTTTCATAAAATATTTTTATTAAATTATAAAAAAAAAAGGTTTATGAAATACTTTTTCTAAAAATTAAAAAAAGAGAAAAAAAAATTGTTTAGTATAATAAAATAAAAAATTAATAATAAAATTTACAATTTATTGCAGTTTTATTAATTTTAATAACCAACCTGTTGGTTATACGTAATTAATTTAATAGAGACCCAGATTCTAAATTAAATTGCATGATTTTAATTGAACTAAATAAATATTTCCCAAAAAAAATATAGGCAATTAAATTAAGTCTATAATGTTGATCGGATACAATATGTTGTTCCGCAATCGACACTTTCTAGCTGAACCTATGTAAATTTTTTAATTACACAAAAGTATAACATGACGTCATTTTACTTAAGGTAATAATTTAATAACCCGTTTAAGGCTAATCAGTGCCGGTTCTGTTCCTGTAGTTACAAATTATTAAATTTTTTAATATTGTAAAATTTTGCTAATTAATTGTTGTTGAAATAACAATTAATTACTTAATATCCGTTTAAAATTTTTTCTTATACAATTCCAATTTTCTTCACCAAAGCAATAATTTTCTTCTTATCATTATTCTTAAGAACATACATATACATATGTGCTTTTAATTATAACTGCGTTTGTATTAGTTAATATATAAATTAAATAATAATAATTATTATTATTATTATTATTATTATTATTATTAATTTATTATTATAATATTATATATATATACATAGAAAAAAATATAAAAAGAGTTGTCGTTTAATTTTTTTTTAAATAAGGAGTAGAAATATTCAAAGGACAGAGTTAATTTGAAAAGAGTGGAGCGAATGTATAATTTAATAATTTTTAAACAAATTAAAATATAATTTAAAAAATGTAAAGAAGAAAATAAAAATTTTAATATGTACATTCAATTGGCTTAAATTAGAATGCGAAAATTGCTATTTCTCTTGCAAAATTAGTACACAAATGAGATGTAGCTGATACAAATGAGATTGTTATTTGACACTCTTCAAAAATATAGGTAGAGATTTTTTAATATTAGTAAAAAACCAATGGTGAGTAGTACCATTACATCTTAGTTTAAGGTAGTACATTTTACGTTTTTGCATTTTTGAACACAATTGACAACAAATTTATATTGTACAAAAAGTTTTGATTTAAAATTTTAATATCAGAGCCGAAATACAAAATTGATTTGTAACCGAGAATACAAAGTGTAAAAGGAGTTGCCTAATTGTTCCAATTGAAGCCAAACGACAACTCTGTACTATATTATAAGAGAATATTTTGCAAATATCTCAAATTCTCTTTTTTATTTTTTTGAAGTAAGAGCGTGAGTTAAAGAAATTTATGTATTTTTATAATATTGTCGAAAATATATTTAAAACACACTTATGCAAAATAAATACGTGTAGTTTTATAAAAGCTCTCTACTTCATTGATATATTTTTCAAGTTCAAAAGTTTAAAAGTCGTCTAGTTATGTATTACTTTCTTTTATGTGTAGGTCGAAAATTTGAGTAAAATTTGTATCATCTTTTTTTTTTTTAATTTTTCTGTTATATTGATTTTGTTTTTCGAATTCAAAATGTTTATTTTTATCAAACAGGAATATGTTTATATAGGAAAATTAAAGAGATACCATGTTAGTATCAATTAAAATAATCAATTTATATATGTTTGTATGTATTCATGTATATATATATATATAGTTATTTACTTAGTAATTCTGGAATCCATTCAAATCTCGATAGTATAGTAAAATAATACAATGTTAATATTGTTATATACATTGTTTCGTTTATATTTAGCTCATCGGCACTCAATCAGAGTGTATATTGAATAAATAAAAATAGTTTTCGTGAGATGGTTATATAGTTAAGAAGTCTCTTCAATAAATTTATTGTTTTAAGAGTGTTTTTTTTCTGTTCTTTTGTTTTTTAATTTTAAATTTTACTATTAAAATTTGCCAAAAATTAATTATACATACATAAGATTCACATAAAATTAAAAAGAAAATTTTCATATTTGAATTTATTGGCGTGTTCATTACATTATGTACTTAAAAAAAAATAATTACTTAGATTTTTTATAACAGTTTAGTTTTTTTTTGGGGGTTTTTAAAAGAAGAAACAAAAAATTTTCGATTTTATTTTATTGAAATATTTAAGAAATTAAAAATATATATTAAAAAAATGCCAAGTAGCTGTCAAATTAGATTTGATCATCCAAATGATGTTTATTATAGTGGAGAACATTTAAATGGATTTATTACTTTAACAACAGAATCTAACAAGACTGTAAGAGGTAAATTTAAAATTACGTACAGAAGTTGATATACAAAATTTTCCAAAAAATAAAATAATTTTCAAGCAAAAAAATTAATATGTATGTGTAGGAATGGCGAATTGTTATAGACTAAAACAAGTTTAATTTTTACAATGTTAAAATGCAAGGTCGCGTACACTTGAATGTAAAAAATTTTGGTGTGTTTACATAATATTAAGCAAGACTTTCTATATTCCTTTAATACTTGTACACAATATTATGATCTTTAATTTTCTGCAATGTATATATGTATGTATATGTATATAATTGCTTAAATACCAGATTATAGAAGTGCATATGTCCTTAGTCTAGGAATACTAAATAAAGCTGGTTTTATTTTTCAAAGCCTTATCTCTTTAAAATTTTTTAAAAATTAAACATTGTACTTTCCAATAAGGGAAATAATATATGAACATATGGAGACATACACACATTTTTGATTTTTGACAATTTTAAATAAATTTTTGAGATTTTTAAAATTGAAATAGTCTTTAAAAATTTAAAAGGTTATTATTGTAAAGGGCAAACACTGAAATTATTCAAAAATCATTAAAATTAACTAGCAATATTTACAGGTAAGGTACCTTTAACATATACCTTGTAAGGTATCTTGTATACATAATATGTATACAATTTAACGCGTTTACCTACATATATATATATTAAATAATTAAAAATATTGAATAATTTTGTTATCTAACATACGTTGTTAAGAATAGAAACAAAAAATAATAGCACAATACATACTATTATATAAATAAGTTTTATATTTACTTACCACAGAGTAAGCATATACGTTGGCTTAAGTATAATTTTTTACATATATGAAATATGAAATATACATACATACGTGCAAATATAGTAATTGGATATTTTGTAATGTAAATATTTTCACAATGATAGTAAATGATTTCGATTTTAATTACTTATCTATATATTAAATTGTTTAAGTATAATTAATAATTAAAAATATAAATTGTTCTGGAAATATTTTGTAATTTTCTTTACCGTTAATATTATACTAATTTCTCGAGATACGACATTTCGAGTTACGACATGATATAAATTTGAACCGTTTTAAATTCGGCTTGCGACATTAATCTTTGATACGACACTAAAAATTTTTTATTTTTTTTTTTCGGCAGATTTAACTGATTTTTGAATAAAAATCTATACCGAATTTTGTTATAAGGCAAGTCTAAAACATATATACTTCAATAATGAACTATGTCTAGTCAAAAATACTAGTCAGCAGTTAAAAATACGAATTGAAGTGGTATATATATCAACTTAATCGGATTTTATTTGATTTATTTTTTTTGTTTAAAATTTCAATTTTCTTGGTTTCGTTATTATATTTTGTTGATTTTTTAAACTTTGTTACCTGTTTTTTAAAAAACAGGTGAATTGTAATATAAAATAGTTTGTCTAATTCATTTTTTGTTTTCATGCATTTTTTTTCCTCCTCAAACGACAGTTCGAGTTACGACATGAATTTCTGGAACCAAAAATGTCGTATGGCGAGGTCTTAGTGTACACACATATGTACATATCTAGTCTTCATTTTCAAGTATCTTTTGTTATAATATATACGCTACTCGTATATATAAAGTTTTGATTTATTTTTTTTGAATGATAAAAATTTCGCTTACAGTCACTAGTTATTTATTTATTTTAAATTTTTTGTATAATTTTTTTAAACTAATGGAATATGTATTACAAATATAATAATTATTAATAAATAACATAATTTATTTAATATATTTTAAAACGAAATACATATGATTATGGAGAAAGTTTTATTTGATATTAATTTGTGAAATTTTATAAAATAAACATCGTCATAATAATTGATTTGGACTATTGTTGTTCATTCACATATTTCCTAATTATGTTATGATAATTAAATTACCAATATGTATGTGTTTATGTTTAATATATATATATATATGTGTGTGTAAATTTTTATGAAAATTATTTTAATATTATTATGTTGCAAATAAAGCGAAATAAAAGCGAAAATATTTATCTACTTTTAGACAAATATGTAAGTATATTGGCACTTGTTGATACTACGCCCACATAATTATTTTAGAAAGTACATAATTTATTCCCGAAAAAATATACGATTTGCATGTAGGTATTTATATATGTATACAAGTTCTTATGGACGTGTTTTTAATAAAATTACTATGTCTCGCATTTAGCATGGTACCTTCATGGATATCCTAAATACTAATCGAATTTGACCACAAAAATAAAAAAAAATAGTATAACAAATTTAAAACCATACCTTCATTATATTTAAATTTAAATGCAAATAACAAGACTATATATCATATAAAAAATTAATTATTTTGTGAATAATAAAATTAATATTCCAAATAAATAAGTTTGTCAAAATTACGGTTTTGATCTCATCTAAAAATTAATAAGACTTTTAGAGCCAAGTTTCAACTCAAATTGAAAATCGAATTTATAAATAAAGTACAAATTTTCAAAATTTGTTTTATAAAGAATTTCATATACTTACATACATACGTACTAAATGGTGCGAACAACAATTATAAATAACATAATAACAATACACATGCACATCTGCGAAGATAAAAAATTTAAAGTATATACCAAAAATTGCCCAAAATAAAAAGTAAAGAAAAATTTTGATGTTGCTAATTTTTTTTTTATTTTCATCCAAATCTGAAACTTGTTTGTTTTATAAAAAAAAAAGAAAAAGAAATTAGCAAAAATTCAAATATTTCTTAAAAAGCAGCTTCAAATATACTTTCTTATTAGTTTGATTTACTTATCTTGTTTTTGAGTTGATATATGTATAGGATTGGGTCATAAAGTTAGCAAAATGATTAAGACTTTTAAATTTATTTTAATTTCAAAAATTTGTAGGTATTATACTTGTATGTATGTATGTATTAATTATATGACTGTAGTCCGTAAAGCTATTTTTGTGGGTCTTTTTTGGGGAATACTCGTATATTAAAAAAAGTTCAAAATTGAAGACTTCATATTGCATTCAATCAATTGCCATACAATAGATTATGGTTTTTGATTCAATTCATTAAAATTTTTTATTTTTGTCTCAGCAGAATAAATGTACATACTTACATACATATATTTAAATTTTGAAAATACTTATATACATTTGTATTTATTTTTTTAAAATTTACTATTAATTTTGCTCTTACTGTTCATTCCACTGTCATACATCCTTTTAAATAAGTATAATATATAAGATGGCAATTTTATTTATGATGCAAATGTATCTTTGTATTTATTCTGCTTTTCTAGAAATGGTTTTTCTATTGTCCCACTCATTCTATTAAGTTGGATTCAATCAATGATATAAAAATGTCTCTATTGCCCAAATCAATCCTACACAATTGAAATTCATCAAAATTTAGAAAAAATATAAGATTACTTCTTTTATAGCATAGAGTAGCTTGGATATCATTTTTAATTTAAGTTTTATAATTTAAGTTCTATATAAAAAAATAACGTTCTAAAATAACGTTATAAAATAAATTAAGTTCTATATAAAAGAAATAACGGTAAATGTCTTATTAGAAAATTATATCTATTTTGAGCTCGCCGAATTTACTTCTTTTCCTGGAAGTATGCAATAAGAAAATACATTATGTCGTTATGAGGATAACGTGTTATATTACAAACGTATGTATACACAAAATGTATGTATATAGTCTGTATAGTTACAAACATCAAATGATTAATTAATAACTTTTTAAATTTTACTATTAATAACTTGTGCAAAACTCCATTAAAATTATTCGAGGTCATTGCCGGGTGTATGGCTATAATTTTTAAATTATTTTTGAAATATGAAACTAAATAATCTATTTATTTAATATAAGTATTTTTTATTCCATTAAAATACGACTACATACATATTTATATATGCACGTTTTATAAATTCATTTTTTACTTGGAAATTTTTGTTCCGCAAAATTTTATGTGTTTGTTTCATGTTATTTATCTATTATGAGAGTTCAAAAATTTTTATGGTAGCATGTAGAATGAAATCACTTCAAAATAGGCGACTATTATAAAATTAAAAAATATATTAGAAGAAAATATAAAAAAAGCTTTTATAATTATACAACTATACATTATGTATGTATGTATATAACATTAAAAATTAAAAAATAATTTCGTATAAAAGTTATAAGAAATTTTTGTTCCTAAACAATTTTTTGGTCGCATCGCACCAACTGACTATTTAACTTTCATAATATTTTTGTGTTTTTTAGTATAAATTTTATTTTTGCTGTTATACACATATAATATTATAAATATATGTTATATTTAAAGCATATATTTTTATGAACGAATATATAATTGATTATAATCAAAAATATTCGCTCATATTTTTTTTTTGGAAAGTCAACAAAACTTTTATACTAAATTAATTCAATATATACATACATATTATATATGTATGGATATGTGTATGCCTTTCTTATATGCCCATCTTATTTAATAATATTTATTTATTTATTTATATTTTGTATATTTAATGAAATCCTAATATGTCATACATACAATGCAAATATAATTATAATTTATATTTAAACCGCTAACAATTTTATTAAATTTTTTGTGGTTTGGAATTTCCAATCACAATTAATTTTAAATGTTCAATGAATTGGCAATATTTTTAAGCATTCATACAGCAATGCTGTATTGTATTAAAATATATAGTAAGTTGGTTCTAAGGACATAGTTAAAGTTAAAAAATTTTATGAGTTTGACTTTGCTTAAAAGATGACTGTGGCAGCACACATGTGTTGAACATTGTTTGTTGTATAAGCTGCTGTAAATACATAATTTGTTAAGACAATGTTTTATGTAATAATCTTTTTGTTCGTTAGACAATGCTTTATGGGAGATTGATGATATTCAAGATTATACTTGTGTAAAATGACGTAATGGTAATAAAATTTTAATAATAATTTTTTTTTTGTATATATCATGCAAAATACCACTTATAAAAATATGTATGTACGTATATAAAATTTTTATCTATATACATACATATTTTAATTTATTGTCGCCAGTTTTATGTTCATAATGGTTGGATTATTATTATATTGTATGTTATATACTTTGTGTTTTGTGTTTTTTAAAAAAGGATATGATTGAATAACAGATAGCATAACATTTTGTTGAAAAATATGTAAATTATTACATAATTTATTCAAATAATCGTGTATAAAAATAATTATAGTTTCGATACCAAAATACTTAAATTTTTTGAAGATAGCCATAATATACGAATAGTATAGGATTATATTACTATATAAAATTGTTACATAAATATTATAAATTTACGATTTCAAGAAAAAAAAAAAATTTTATAATATACTTATATACTTTTCTTTAACAGGTGTTCATATAACAATTAACGGATATGCAAAAGTAAAATGGGAGGAACGTAGAACTCGTACAGTTAATGGAAAATCACAAAGTTATACTGTTTATTATACAGCTTTTGATCAATATTTATATTCACGTACCTATGTCGCTGGTAGAGAAGGTGGAAATTCTTTTGAATTAGCCCCAGGAACTTATAATCATACATTCTTTTGTGCATTACCACCATCTTTACCAACTTCTGTTTCTGGGAAATATGGTGAAATAAAATATGAAGTTGTTGTTACAATTGATCGTCCGTTTCGATTTGATAATGTTTTTAAACGTGGTTTTACAGTTATACAAAATTTAAATTTAAATATGGATCCAACATATAAGGTATACTCCCATACATACATTATTTAGTTATTAAGTGTATTTTATGTTAATTATACATACGAGTATATGCATACATATGGTTATTTTCTATTATATGTAGCTTTTCAAACTCTTATTATTTATTAAACCTTTCTAGTTTGAATTTAATATTTTAATTAAATTCGTAATTTACTTAACAAACTTTAAATTTTAGTATGCCTACATATGTAGTCGGCTCTCTTGTCACTGTTTTGTGATTGTCTTGCCTTGGGACATTTTATTTTGAAAACAGACCCAATTTAAGGGTCTAAATTTAGAATATTAATTCCTTATTAAGTTTTTTATTAAAGTGTATATATCGGATACTGAACCTACTGTCCACATAGAATAGAAATACGAGTAGTACACAAATATATAAAACGTGCATATATTATATTAATAATAATATATTAAATTTATAGTTATGCCTCAAGTTATAACTATTATATTTTGTCATCTTTATAGCAACCAAAACTTGTTACTGACACGAAAGATTATTGCTGTACATTTTGCTGTTTCGGTGGTCCAGGAACTGTTAATACAACTTTTACAATTCCATTTGGTGGTTATTGTCCAGGACAGAAAATAAAGTTTTCGTTGTTAGTAAAAAACGAATCTTCCAATGATTTACAAGATTGTAAAGTAAAATTGGAAAAACGTATTACATTTACAGCAACAAGTCCATCTCATAAAACAAGAGACACTAAATTTAAATTAGATTCAAAACAGTACCCTCAAGTTATGCGTAATTCAACAAAACAATATGAAGGTGAATTATTAATACCTTCAGTACCACCATCTAGTACATTAACTGCTTCATGTGTTCGTATTGATTATATGGTGTCTGCAAAAATAGAAACTGGTTGCTGCCATAGTAATATTCATTTAAATATACCAATTGTAATTGGTACTATTCCATTAATTGAAAGTGCTACAAATCCAAATAGTGTTATTGTTGAACAACCAACAGCTCCTCCGCCAATTGATGGTTCTGGAGATGCTCCCCCACCAGGTTATAAAATTGTTGGTATGTATACACAATGCACTATACACATTATATTGTATATATTGTTGTATCATTTATAAAAATACAAAAACTAATATAACAAAAAAATTCTCTTCTAGCACCACCATCATATGAAGATGCTATGACTGCAAATGAAAATTTCGTTGACGATGATAAAGATGCACGTCACCAAGAAGACCCATATTGTCCAAAATATCCTATGTATCATAATTTTGCACAACCACCTGGTTCAACATCTTTTGCAAATGGTCATTCTAGTAGAACTGATCCGGAAGATATTAATCGTAGCCTACAAGCAAAAACTTATGGATGGAGTTTAAATTCTTCAGATAATTAAGATCTAACACCTAAACCATATATTATAATATATTTTTGTATCTCTTATACTAAAGCTAAAATGCCTTACGCATTGTTAAAAATATTTTAAAATATTTATTTAAAATAGAATTTGATGTTTTAATACTTCTAAACCAATATGAAATTGAATGAAATTAAAATAACAGTTTAATAGTTCAGTAATATTTAAGTTTACTGAAATGAGCCTTAAATTATATACATATAAAAAATAAGATATATTAAAATATTATGTGTCCTTATATTGCATTTTTAAAACAAATTTTCGGCTGATGAAGCTTTGTTTTTTTTTTTATTGATTTTTAATAATTATAAATGTGTGAATATCTTTATATTAAATTAAGGATTAATTTTATAAAATAATAAATGTATAAGCATAATATTTTTAATTTGAGCATTTTATTTACAAAATATAAAAAAGAAACTAGAGTTAGTGAAGCAATTTGAAAATATATAGGTCCAAGGAGCAATTGATTTACACACGTAAGTAAATAGAAGCCTGATGAACGTATCTTTTGATGTAATAATTTATTCTTCATTAAATTGTTGTTAATGACTTGAAATCATTAATGACTTTTCTGGAAATCAAATACAATCTGTTAAATGACGTTCATGTCCATGAATTGAAGTTAGGTGCGTGACAGCTTTATTTAGTTTTAAAGAAGATAGTTTACGTTATAGGGCAGTGACTTCGAATCAGGCTCTTGTTAATAAATTATTTAACTTATCTAATAAGTTTTAATATATGAGCATTAACTTTCATAATATGCTTAAAAATGTTCAAATTATTTCATTACTAAAAATCTAAATTTTAAATATTGTTAATGAAGTTATGGTATTTTTTTAGCTTAATTTCATTATACCATAGAAGGGAGACCAAGAATTTAAAAAAAAAATCATTTCAATAAATTTAAAAAATTAAAATTTTAGACAGAAGTTGGGCTGACCTGAGACATAAATTTTTAAAATCGGTTACTATACACTAAATACATAATGTATACTTAAATTCATGTACAAATTAGCAGTCCCACCCAATTATAAAATACTTAGTGCGGACCTTCATAACGATAACACTTTTTTTTTAATATTTCTGTTTGTGTTTTTATAAATCTAGTCAAAATAAAGCGAATAAAGTACGTATTACACAAAATATTTGATTATTACTCGCACGTGCTACAATGTTTGTTTTTTCTTTTTTATAAAAAATGTGTATAATTATGGTTAATCCAATACAAATACATGGATATAGTAACGCAAATACTATTGCATACAAGTTTAAATGTGTCTTACATTAAGCAAAATATAAAATAATATTTTTTAAATTTATCATACATTCTTCGAATTGTTTTTTTTATATGTGAATTTACTATAAAATTATTATTCAACGATAGTAGTAGAGTAATGTGCTAAATAAAGTAAGCACACTATTACTACATTACTGCTATACTTGTTATTTTATTTTTAATACTCCTTCTCTCAAACTAAGTTTTTCGATAATTTGCTGTATACTTATACTTCTTGTAGTGCCGTACCATAATACCCTGAAATTGTCAACTACTTTACTTCTACTCTAACAATTTTCATTCGAGTTGTTCAACATTATAAGAGAAAAGCTTTACTCTTTATTTCTTCTTTTCTTTTGAGATAAAAAAAAGCTCTTTTAAACACAACAAAACACAAAAATAAACAATAATTATTTTCCTGATTTTAATTAAACAACCAGTTTAATATTAAAATTTGTTGAACCAACCTTGTTCGCAGTTTGCTTTCTTTGTAGCCGGTAGATCAATTTTTTTTTTTGTTTATCATAAACTATAATACTGTATTAAAATAGAAAAACAAAATGTGCTAAATAAAGAAAATGTTAGACTTTGTAATATTTAAATAAAATATAATTTAGCAAATATAAAATTTGAGGGCAAATTATACAAAGAAAGAAAAAAAAAAGAAATGCCTAGTGAATGTTTTATATTTTTTGATAATCCTAATGGTGTATTTTATACTGGATCTTCAGTTTCTGGACGATTTGAATTAGTGACAACGACCAGCAAAAGAATTCGAGGTAGGGTCATAGTATAGAATTTATTTATTGGAAAGTATTTATAAAAAAACAAAAACGAAAAATAATATTTTTTTTTTGTAATAAGTATAATTAAAATATTGAAGTTATAAGAGAAAATAATTTTCATTTCTTTTGTATGAATACTAAATGAATTGTTTGAAAGTGCTAAATTTATTAAAAAAATTATTTCTTTCTTCCTTTTCTTTATATACGACAGATGACGTAATTCTTTTTAACGTTTCTAAAATAATATGTATGTTGGCAAATTAATATGTTGAAAATAATTAAGTGCGTATGTACGTATGTACTCAATTAAAAATTTTTAATAATGAATTTATTAAATACATATATAATTATTTATGGTAGACATATTAAATTCAAAGTCAATGTAAACAAAGATCAGATGTAAATTTTTATATTAGTCTTTTAAAATATTATTAATACTACAGCGAACTTGATATCGTCATGTGGTGCACAGCTACTATAAATAAATAATGCGTGTACATTGTACATTATGTTTGATAATTATAACATTATAGATTCGAAAGAGATGTAGGATATAAATGCTATCAACTAATTAAAAGTTAAAATCACGAAAATAGATTTTTTTTCCTTAAATTATTGCCTCAATTATCAATTTCTTGATATGAATTTTTACGATAATAGCCTATTATTTGATGATAATTATTGTTAACGATTTATTGTTTATGTATGAAAACTTAATTTCTTTATTAAAGTATTAAGGTATTAAAGTAAGAATGTTTAACAACGATTACATATGTAAATTGCTTAAATTAAATTAATTACTTTAATACCAGATTAAAGTAAGTGGATAATTATTAAAAGTAAAACAAAAATTATAAATAAATTGCGATAATTATCATAAGTATATAAATTTATTGATATAAAGCATTTACGTTATTATGTCTAAATGCAAAACTAAAAAAATATATAAAATAATTTTTGCATATTTTTAATTTAATAATTTAATGAATTTTAAAAGTATGAAGAAAATCAATTGTTAAATGAAATCGATTCATGTAAAATTTCACCTTATAAAGAAAAATTTACGATTAACTTTCAGCTAAAATAAACAATAATATATTCGTGAATATTCAGATATTATTGATGATATAAGGGAGAGTTGAAAAAGTAAATACCTATGGGGTACTGAAATAGTTTACGTACTCCGGAATAGTTTTTGGGTAAAAGGGTCCTTTTCGCCAATATATACAATAAGTTTTCAAAAACCTGTGCACATATAAATAAACAAATAATTTATACTATCCTAGGCTTGTTAATTGAAATGAAAAAACCATATTCTAATGAAACTAAACATCAGATATGGAAGGTAGTATATTTAAAAAAAGTAAACAATATTATCAATGAGATATCAAATATGTACTAAAAAAATTTTAAGCCAAAGTTGAATTTTAAGAATTTTCTATACTTTTCTATATTATTATTATTTTTTTTTTGAAAAATATTCTTATAAATAATATTTTGAAATTAGGTATATAACAGAATATTATTATATATATTTTATTATATATAAAATTTTCTGTGAACTGCACATATGTATGTATTTTAAATTAATTTTACTTAAAAATTCTGTATTTTATAAATAAGATATTTTTACAAGTTTTTTTTAAAGATTAATTTAAATTTTAGGAATTGTTGTTCGAATAACTGGTAATGCTAATGTCTGTTGGGAAGAAGAGTATACTGAAAAAGAAAATGGAAAAGAAGTTACAAAATTTAGAGAATATACAAATCATCAATCCTATTTAAATTATGAAAATTTTGTACTTGGATCGCAATATGCTATTGAATTTGATCTGAATCCTGGAACATATAATTATACTTTTAATTGTGAACTCCCAGCAAATTTACCATCATCATTTACAGGAAGATATGGAGAAATAATTTATGAAGTATGTGTTGAAATTGATCGAGCTGATCTAGCATATAATAATAAATTTAAACAAGCATTTACCGTGATATATTTACTAGATTTGAATGTAAATCCCGATTATAGAGTAAGAAATTGAAGATTTTCTCAATATTTTATAATGGTAATTTAGTAAATATTAACAATTTTATATAATTTCAGCAACCTAAATCTACAATTGATGAAGTAAGTTATACGTGCTGTAGTTGTTTTTTTGGTAGTGGAGTTGTTGAAGCGGAAATAACAATACCATATGGTGGTTTTGTATCAGGACAAGATATTCCGTATAAGTTACTTGTTACAAATGATACAAATTCTGATATAGATGACATCTCAAAAGTTGAACTTGTAAGAAAAGTAACATTTGAAAGTGAGACACCAGAAAGTGAATTCAAATACCGTGAAGTTTCATTAGATGAAAAACAAGTAGGAAAAATTTTAAGATTATCAAAGAAACAATTTGAAAATACATTAGAAGTACCGACAGCACCACCAACAACACCAAAAAATTTTGGTTGTTGTATTCGTATCGAATATTTTATTAAGGTTGGAATTGTTACTGCTTGTTGTGCCAGTAATCTTGTTTTAAATCTTCCTATTACAATTGGAAGTGTACCAATTACTAATTCAGAAGGATTAAGTGAGATTACATTACATCAACCAGCATCACAACGTTGGGAAGAAACTGCGGTAGGCTCCTTAAGGAACTTAGATTTACCTCCTCGATATACTGGTAATTTAAAAAGTGAATCGAAGAAGTTTTATAAATAATTTATAATATTTCATTTTTATTTTAAGGCCCACCATCATACGAAGAAGCAAAAAAATTATCAGAAGACTTTGAAAAAAAACGAAAAGGAATAGATAAGCAATTTGAGTTTGCGCCAAAATATCCAACATATTTTAATTATAGAGAACCAACTGCCCCAATTGAAAATAATATTTGATATGCAAATGCTTGTGAATACGACACGTACCTAGTGTAATTGTTCTTTTTTCGAATATTTTAAATTATTTTTAAATGAAAAAACAAACTAAAGCTTAGTACTTATATAAATCACATGAAATATTTTGATAATTGAAGTTTTTTTAATATTTTGAACTTTGTGAAATAGCGTTAAATATAAATTAATGTTTAAAGCTTTAAACTAATTTTTCTTCTATAAACCTAATATAATATTCGTAACATATATTGTACTATTTTAATAAGATATTAGGTGTTTACTATGAAATATCTTTAAAATGTGATATTTTAGAAAATTCAGGACTCAATTTTTTACAATATTTTTCGTATTCACTTTTTTTTTTATTTTTACATATCGAAAATTTGTTTTACACTGAAGTTGTAAGTTTGTTTCCGGTATATAATAAAGTGACTTATTTTAGTAATCTCAATTAATATTAATTATTAATTGAAAAAAATAATCTAGTATGTGATTTATAAAGCACTCAAATCGATTTGCTTATTGCTTTTGTAATATTAATAATTGTTTGGCGCATTATGTTTGAAGCGGTAAGCATTTAATATAAAATTAAACATATTAATTATCTTTAATTTTATTTTTTAATAATGACCTTTAGCAAATATTTGAATAAAATTGTTGAGTAATTTAATTTTTTTGATGTACTGTATGTGAAATATTATACATATAATTCTTATGCTTTTAAAAAAATATAAAATTTTATTTTATAAATACATAGTTATTTTGAATTAATTTATAAAATTCTCGAATCAATAAATTTTAAGTTATTATATTGATTTTGTTGTACATTGAATTTATTTTACCAAAAAGGTGTAATACCTGTTATATCAGCAAAAGAATAAAATATGTATAGTAAGATAAGGCCGGGCAGAAAAAATTAAAATAGTTTCTAAATTTAAAAAAAAAAAAACAATTATACACAAAAAAAAAAATTAACGCTCAAAGCGAAACAAATTTAGTGTCAACTCTGCAGATTAAATGGTCTTGGGCTCTGCCACTCGAATTTATCCAATCTTGAAACTAAAATAATTTTCTTAAATAATTAAATAATTTAAGACTATATTGATTACATCCCAAATTACATCATAAAATTGATTGACACACTTATTGTTTGGAAAAAAATTCAATCAATATTTATTTCTATCACAAATACATTCCTTAAATCCAAATACCATTAGTTTCATATTTTGGAGAATCGATTTCATCCAAGCTTGGCGCAATCGGACTGAAATTATAAACAGGATATCTTGGAACATATTCGGGTGACTCACAAATAGGGTGCTCTTCATTCTTTGCAAGATTTACTTTACTCATGTACACAGCTTGTTGATAAGAGGGAGGACCTTAAAATTTAAAATTTAAAATTTTATTTTTTAATTCTATTCTAAAACAAGTTCACTTACTTATATGACAGTCTTGTGCAATAGTTGCTATTGAATCCACAGGAATATTATCAATTACTGGTACAGTATTGGTATTATTTTGATTAATTGATCTTGATATTGTGGACAATGGTTGTTGAGTAATAACATCTGCAAGTGGTATATTTCCAATTGTTATTGGAAATTTTATTATGGGACTTGTATGAAAACCATGAATTTTAACTTTAATATGTAAATCATATGTGATATGTATAATTTTACATAGATTCGTACATGTTGGTGGTATTGCTGGAATCCGAACAAATTCCTGAAATATTTTACTTATTTTAGGTTTTACTTCATCTGTTTTAATTTCAACAATTGTTAAGGTTTCCTTTTTTGTTGCGTTTGACGAATCGTCGCTATAATATTTGATTGTCTTTATTAATGACATTTGTACATGATCAATATTTAATTTAGTATTATTTTGTATATCAGCATTAACAATTATAGCTTGTCCAGGTACATAACCGAGTTGTGGTATTTTTAATTTAATATCAAGTGGATTTGTTATACATGGACCACACCAGAATTTTTCACTAGTTTGATACTCACATGGCATCTACAATTATATATAAATCTTTCTATATTAATTTTAACTAAGGTATTGATCGATGTAGAACTTGAAAGCTTTTTTTTTGTAATTTAGTAATTATGTTTATGGACTAACTTTTATAGCTTAAACCGTAGGATTTAAATTACGCTTTCAAGAAATCTATGCTCTTTTAAAGTTCTTCATCGATTTACAAATTAACAAAAAAAAAATTAAAATAAATTACCCTGATTGATGGTGAATCATTATTATTTAAGTCAACCATTTTTAATATTGTTATTCCGACTGTATAAGTTTTATCAAATTTCCATGGCCTATCAAATATTATTTGAACTGAATATCGTATATTACCGTGTGTTCCCTCAAATGATGACGGTAATTGCGATGGTAAGGCACAGGAGAAATTATATGTATGAATTCCAGGTTCTATTACAATAGTACTACCTACATATATGTGATTAAAATAGACAATGTATTATTCGAAATATAAGATTTTACTTAGATTCAATTGGGGCAGTTGATAAGTAAAAAATCAATTTATACAACCTGAATCCGAACCTATTAGATATGTGGTAGAAGAGAGATAATCTATCTGACCCGATCTCTCTGTTGCATCATTACCAGTTCCTTCAATCCATAATGTACTGGCCCGACCAAAAAATTTTATGGCAATTCCTGAAAAAAAATATTGAAGTATAATTGTTTAGTAAAAGTGGTTTTTGCTAAATTTTCCTTGTAGAAATAAATATGAAAAACAAATTATTGGATAAATATAAAATGTAATGTTTCAGTTGTAAAGAGCTTATGTAAAATTGTGGTTCTTGAAGAATACCATTAACATTTTTTACTGCCAATAGATCTTGAAATAAATTAAAAAAATTTAAACATAAAATTATGGCAGTACGAAGCTGAATTTGTGAAGAAGTTAAATTTTATTAACATAAATATGTATATAAGTACATAATTTGTAATTGCAATTATAATTCGTAAGAGAACAATATTAATGAGTTTATGTTTTTTTGTAAAATTATTGATAATTTACGTGTATTTCAAAACAGATATTAATTATATGATTTATACGAGTAACCTAGAACAAAAATATTTTTTTATTCCAAATTAATTATGTTAATTATGAAAAATGCTTATGTATAACAGACATAAATAAATACATTTTAAATTTAGTATACGATTTAGAAACTAAAAGTGATTACTCATATTTTATGGAAGTTAAATAACCTTCGCCAACAATACCGAAATTTATAATCTTATCACTTCAAATCATAATGTTTATAGTTTTCATTTGACTTTAACATTGGCTGATAATGTAAAGGTAAATATTATCAATTTTTATTATTATGACGTACGCTTTTAAATTAATATAATTTTAGGTAAAAAAATTGTGCAATCACTCAGTGAAATATTATTGTGATATACAATAAATCAATTTTTTTTTATATTTATATTGAAACCTGTCTTATAAACAATTTATAATCTACTTATACATTAACATTTTAAATCCAACTCTTAATTTATCTGATATTATAATAATGTACTTAGAAATATTTTAGTGGCTAGCAGCTAGTTACAAAAAAAAAACCCATTTTAATCTTTCTTATGGAAAAACTAATCTACAGAAATTATAAAGCTAAATTTAAAAATTTGAAAATTAGTCATTTTATTATACAGTTTTCAAAATATTGTGTATAAAATACCTCTAACACTAGTTTTTTTATCCAAAATAATTTCAACTTTTCCTGTTATTATACTTCCACTATAAAATGTTCCTTCGGGGCTATTATCAAAAGTTATGTGACATTTAGTACCCATTACAAAAACAACAAAAAAATTTTTTTTTCTCTATAAATTAAATAAATTAATAAAAACAACTAAATACATTCGGATTTTAGGCGATACTGAGAAGTTATTAATTTATTTGGAATGAAAAATGGAAAAAAAACCTAAATTATTAATATCTTATCTAAAGATAATATTCGCAATATACATCTTATCTTTAAAAGAATGTGTATACTAATTAACAACCAAAAGCTACCCTACAATAAAGTTTAATTATTAAAATAATTTAATTGATGCAACTATTAGGGAATAATACACGATTGTGTGTTTGAACGAGCAGTTTTGTATTTAAAAGTTTTTTTTTGTAGTGTTTAAGAGAACTATGAACCGAAAATAAATTTAATATTAACATTTTTATTAAAAATTAATTAAATTTCTTAATAAAATAAAATTGTAATAGAAGAAATCTATTCAATTTTCTTCTATTAAAAATTTAATTTGTAGAATTTATATAATGTTAACTTCTTTTAATAATTTTATAATATTATTTTAAGTACAAATTTCATAATTTTAAAATAAGTGAAAAATAATTAATTTACTTAAAATATAAACCTGCATACATTGAAAACCTATATGTACATACTCAAATGTACTGTTTTATGAAATTGTGAGATGAAACAATGAAATATTTACACGTGCAATACGTTCATATAAATTTAATTTAAAAAAAAAATTAATTTAAATAAAGTTATTTTGAATATTTAAATATTACATTTTATATCATTAAGATAAAATAATTGAATAACATATTTCTATTTTGCAGAAGTGCAGGTTTCAGGTTGATATAATTATGTAGTATTACTGTGCTAAAAAGAATTTTCTGAATGCTGTATTTGTGATTGCCGTTATAAAATCTTTAAAATCCCGAATATAGGCCGAAAATTGTATTCTCAACAATATTTATTGGTAGGTACAATAAATTTTTGCAAGTTATTTGATCATTTTTGTTGCAATCCAAAAATAAAAATAATATTAAATTACATACATATATTATAATTGTTTTATCATATTATGCAGACAAACCTTTAAATTTCGAAAATTATGGCTTTCACGAATGTGTAGATGGACTTTTTGTTATCCTGTCATCTACTTCTAATTATAATAAGGATTAAAATGAAAAATTAAAACTCGTTTTTCGATATTTCAACTTCATTTTTAGAAAAACTGAAAAATTCTAAAACACATATCTATTTTAGCTTGTTAAATAATTCGTATAGGATACTTCTCTCATGTTCCGGTGCAATTTTTAAACTTTTTTTGTATTATATACCAGAATACTTATAAGCTTCTTGAAAAATATATGTATTATTATCAACCAAACTTATAAATGTATATATAGGTATTCGCTCTTATTCTTCCACTTTTTTGCTGTTACACAATAAATGCTACTTACTTATGAATAAAATATTCATTATATACTTGCTATGTAAGGCGAGTATAATTTTCTTGAAAATATTATTAACAAATAAAACGATCACAGTTAAAATTTTCTCCGTCAGATACCGAAAGTGAAGTATTACAGAAAGTAAACCAACAACACATTTATGGATCGATCCATTTATGCTTTCATATTTAACAGAAATAATACACATTATTCACACTAGATGTTCAAATGTAAGAAGAAAACTTTTTAGCTAAAGAAATTGACTACTAGATGATATTGATGTCCAATTCTAATCTAATGTCAAAATCGTTGTTGCTGTAAACATAATATTAATGACAACTGACATTTAAATGAACGGTGTTAAAGATTTTTATTAAATTGATTTTTCTAAGTGATTTTTAAAATTATTATATAAAATTTTGTTAAATATTTAGTTTTTAATTACTTTGCTTTAAATATGAAACGGAATTTTACGAAAGTGGACCGTGTAGCTCAGATGGTAAGTGTTTTTGTTTTTTCGGTATAAAACTTAATCTGAAATCGTGCTTTTTATGTTTAGACTATGCAAGAGGAGCTCATCGCAAAAAAGAAGCAAGAAATATTAGAAAAACAGCGAACAAAAGAAATAGGAAAACAAATAGCTGCAGCACAAAAGAAGTAAAACTTTGATCTTTTTTTAATTTTTACTTGTTATTATAAAATATACATTTTCTAATTTTTACAAAATAAGTGTTGCCACAAATTTAGATTCTGCAAACAAGGAAGCATCCGAAAATGAACAAAAATCTAGTAATGAATCAGAAACCAAACCTGTATCTAACGTACATCCGTTGATTGCAGCAGCCAATATTCCAAAGCTACAAAATAATTTTTGCAATGATGGATCATTTTTTGAATATTATAAAAAAATAATTGAACAAACAAAAAAGGAGGAAGAAGCGAAAAAGCAGGCTGAAGTAAAATTAAAGACAGAACTAAATATAGTAGATGAAGATGCAAAGCCTGAAGCAGAACCGCAGGTTTCTTCAGAAGGAGGTTATGAGATGAATGAAGACGATGTTCAAAATGAAACTCAAAATCCTTTAGAAACACCAGATTTAAATTCGGGGGATAATGGAGATGAGTAAGTTCTTTAAAATGGTAGTAGGTAGTAGGTATTTTAAAAAATTTACGGAATTCTAGCGTTTGTTCTCGTTTATTATTTTTTACCAATTTGGTTCATTTTGTATTTTATTTAATTAAATTCCTATTGCATGAAAGTAGTTAGTTGTATCTTCTAATGATGTCATTAGATCTTTAAGGTTGGTTTGCACCTTGGTAAATATTAAAATTGTTTATAATTATTTGATTTTGGGTCTTTCTATGTTAAATCATATAATAAATAAAACTTTTACAGAAACCTTTTTATATAAATATAATTTCCTAATAATTTTTTCAAAATGATATTTCAAGGTTAATACGCATTTGAAGTATAGTATCAGAAATTATATTAGAATTTATTTTAAAAATTTACATTTTTTAATTACCTACCCATTGCTTGAAATTAACTTTATTTTATATGCATACATACATACATTATATTCATTTTTAAAAATGTAAACATTGATTTTCATTCACAGAAATAAAGCAACTGAAACTAATAACATAAAGCTTGAAGAAGAACAACAAAATCAAATTGACGATATTAAGACTGAACCCATCGACAAAATAAACGTTACACAGCATGAGCCTCCTGTTTGCAATATAAATTCAGGAAATATTAGTTCGAATGCACCAGTTGTTCCGACACCAACACCGTATAATGATGCTCTAAAACAATATAAAATGAAAACAGAAAATCAACTTTTTAATCAAAGTTTTCAACCTAATGCTAATCCCCCACCAATAGCTGTTGCAACAAGGCCAAGTTATTTGCAAGGGCCATACGCTACTCAGTTAACTAGTCAACCTAATACTATGCCAATACATATTCCACAAACTTTCAGTATAGCCCCAAATGCAACATTTAACTTAAATCTTCCTCCTCCAATGATTAACTTCGCAATTCAACAACCTACGCCACCACCACCTCCTCCGCCAATGCCAGTTATTTTACCATTACCACAACCTGCGCCTAACTTATTTCCGAATTCCTATTCAAATCCTTCAATTTTTTTAATGCAACATCAAACACCGCCACAAATTTCAATTCCCTATCAACAACAAGCTCAACCAATGCAATTGCCACAACAACAACCACCACCTGTTTCTATGTTACAAACAGCCCCACCACCACAAGTTACGCAAGTATTGCAAGGGCCTGTTACTCAAACTACAATTACTCAACAAAATAGTATAAATGAAATACCTTCAAGAGCTTCTCCTGTAGCACAAGTACTTCCACAGTTTCAACACATAGAGAAACAAGAACTTAGCCCTATGATAAATGAAGATTCTGAAGAAAAATTATCTATGAGTGAAACTGAAGACCAAAAAGATATTTCGAAAATAGAATCAACTTCTGAAGGACGTAGCAGATCAAGTAGATCAAACACAAACAGTCCTCTTTCTGAAAAGGATGTTAAAGACACAGGTTAGTTTAATTTAAATTTATGCTGTTTGAACTATGTAAACAAAACCAGAATAGTTCAAATGTTTAATATTCTTGTTGTAAAGTTCTATTCTTGTTTTATGGTAAAAGAGATTTTGTATAGTTTTTTCAGAAGACTCCAAACGAGTTGATCAAACAAAGAGTTTATTACCAACGTCTTTACAATCATGTATCGATATGGTAGCCGAAAATGGCGACGCATTTGAAGATTTTATACGTAGTAAAAAAGATGAAGTTCATTCGTCATTGTGGTAAAGCAAAATTTTTAACATAAAATATGTAACAAAAACGAAATATTTAACTCTTGATAAAGCAAAACAATTTATTTAATAATTTAGAATGTTTGTAAATCTGAATATTAGTTGAATGATGTACAAAATTTGATAAGTAATTTATTGGTTCAAAGTCTTAACATGTATCGCGATTTTTGTAGAATATTTTGTAAATGAAGTCATTTAAATAATTTTACTGTGCATAAACAGTTGCAATATTTTTTTTAATTTGTCAAAGAATAATTTTTTTTTGTAAGAAATCAAAGAATTAGTTTGGCAAAATACATTTTGAATAAATTTAAAATTTCTGTAGAATTTAAATATGTGATTTATATTTGAATATTAGCATCTTTTAATGTATATAAATAGATAATAAAAAATTGTAAAAATTGTTTTTATGCAATAGTTGATTCCATCGGAGTATTCATCAAAATTATTTTGTGATTAAATGTTATGAATTATGCGTTTTGCGATTTTTTTATGTTATTGGAATCCTATTGTTTAAAATTAATTTAAACCGCAATGTACATATGCATATTTCATTTTGAAAATACGTATTATTCAACTTTTCACAAAGAGGCATCAGCAAGTTGAACTTCGAAGGGATGAGAAGTGGTCATATATTTTCTTCATGTTATATAAACTAAAATTTTTTATCTTGATATAACGATGAAATTTAAATATGAAAACGTTTAAAAAGTCTAACAAATAATCGACAATAAATTCCTTATTTCTTTATTGTAAACAGGTTTTTGTTTGACTTGGAATCCGATGAATATGGTATCTATCGTCAAAGTGTTTTAAAGATACGAGAAGAAGTTCGAAATCGGAAACGAAATGCGATTTACAAATCAAATGATGAAAAATATGATCCAGAATCTGTATGTGATGATGGGGCTGATAATGATTCTGACGATGAATATATGAAAGGAATGTTAAATCGGAATACCAATAATTTAAAACGCAGAATTGAAACTAGGGTTGAATTTGAAGAAGAAGAGCGACGACAAGCTGAAGAAGAACGACAAAAGAAACGGAAAAGTCGTTGGGGTGAAAAAATAGAATCTACTGATGTCCCAACAGTGACAGCAATTGTTCAAACATCGTTTGGTAATCAACATAAACCGATACTTAATAGTATACAACGTACAGACCCTGCTTTATTGCAATATGCAAAATTAAATTATGGTGGTACGAATTTAAGTGAAGAAGATTGGAAAAAATGTGAAGAACATTTCAAAGTAAACTTATTATATCAAGATATGATGAGAAAACGTCGTGAAATCGATCAATTAGCTAAAAGTGGTAAGTTTAAGTATGAATATGATTCTGACGAAGATACCGAAGGCGGAACATGGGAACATAAATTACGAATGGCAGAAATGGAAGCTACAAATGCTTGGGCACAAGCTTTAACTAAACAGTCCGAAGGTAAACATCATATTGGTGATTTTCTACCTCCAGAAGAATTAAAAAAATTTATGGAACAATATGAAGCAAAAAAAAATAATAGACAACCAGATTTAAGTGATTATAAGGAATTTAAATTAAAGGAAGATAATAAGGGTTTTCAAATGCTGCAAAAATTAGGATGGCAGGAAGGGCAAGGATTAGGAGCTGGTGGCGATGGCATTGTTGACCCGATTAATAAGTAAGTTTTTAAGTTTTTATTTAATTCAGTTTTTAACTTCAAATTATATTTGTATTTATTTAGCGTACTACAAAATATCTCGTAACTTTTATATATATATTATAAAAGTTAAAACTATTATTAACATCGAATATTAAGCAAAAATAATATTATAAAATTAATTAATAACACTGTTTTAAAAATGTAGTTACCAAAATAACACAAAAGAAAAATATCCATTCGGTATATTTTGATATTTCGACAATTTCTATTATGAGTTATTTTTATTATTAGTCTTAGTTATTAATAATTGTACTGATTTTGCTTGTCAATTCAGAGCCACCCAAAGAGAAGCAAATCAAGGCCTTGGTGCTAATAGCGTTTCAACACCTGATGATGGAGATAACGAATATGAAGCTTATCGAAAAAGAATGATGTTAGCATATCGTTTTAGACCTAATCCATTGGTAAGAAATTTTTTCTTAATTTCATGAATTTTATTATTATAGAAATGCTTTTTATAGAATAATCCAAGGCGAGCTTATTATTAAATGTAAAAAATGGAACCGTAACTATAATTTATTTCAAATGCTTTTATGACTTCCTCTTATAAAATTGTTTACAATTGTTTAATATATTTGAGCCAATAAAAATAGGATGTTAAATATACGATAAATGTTTAATATCATAAAGAGTTTTTAATTTACTATGTATTAATATATTTATTGGCTACCTTTACTCAAAATGATATTTACTAAACTGCACCCGATGTTTGGTTTTTACATTCTGTAGTGCAGAAGGCTAACTTTAAAATTGAGCGTGAAACTTAATTCCTATTTAGAATCACTTCTTAAAAAGGGAAATTATTTTAATTGTTTTTTAAAAGTTAAGAAATTCTTTAATATACTCAAATGTACAAAAATATTTATGAAAAAAACAATCCACAATAATTTTTAAGCTTCTTTAACGTAAGTAAATGACATATTTTCATTTTAATTATATAAAATATTAGTTGGTTATAACCAAATTAAAATTTATTTTTTTTCAGCAAATATTTAAAAACTTTTTGAATGATAACTTCGACGTTTTGCTACTTAGCATATTGTTATTAATTGAGTTAATTTTTATATTTTTGTGAATTTCTTAGAACCGTAAATATGTAAATTATGTTCAAACGAACGCATATTGAACAATTTTTGATGATGCTAAAATGAAAAAATACTTAAATCTTAATTAATTTAATATTTAACGTATTTCAACTATTTCTTTATAATCATATCTAGAATACATATTATGTCTACTTTTGTACTTAGAAGAGAAGTAGATAAAAATTAGGCTTGGTATACTGAAAAAAAATGGTAGAAAAAATAAAATAGAGCAAATCAGAAACTAGTCAAAATTAATTTGAAAGACTATAGGGAATCCATTTAAAAATTACCCATTGTTTTATGGTTTTATCACACATTATCATGAACATTTTTATTAAATGCAGCAATTTTCTTTAGGTTTTTATATTTTCCTTGAAAATAAAGAGTGAATTTTTTAAAGACAGTTTTTTCAACTATACTACTCGTATTAAGTTCAGTTTTTGCCAAAACGAAATTGAAAAATTTACCCTATCTGCAAATAACACTTACAATTTATTTGTTTCCTCATGCGATTTGCATTTGTATACCAAATCATGTGGTTTAACACTTTTGGATCAATTTTATAAAGGCAAATTTTATTACAATTATGCAAAAAAAATATTAAATTCAGGTTTACGAAAACAAAACCTGGAAATTGTAGGAGAGAGCGCCAAAAATGGTCTGATTTTTTTTTTTTTTAGATAACACTTTATTCGGTCCGATTGAGATAATCATTTATCTTGTATTCTTGAATAGTATATTAAACGATTTAATGTATACTGCATAATGGTTAGAAAGATACATCGTGTTGTTATAATATCTATAACAATTATATTATTATCGTGCCGGAAAATTCATCAAACCAAATGTAATTATTGTATAACAAATTAGAATTTCAAAACATATAATCCAATTTGTTTTGTTTCCAAAATAAACAAGTTTTAAAAGCATTTTCAATTATGTAGAAAATTGTTAAAAGAATACTTTACATACTGTTCAAGCAATTTGTATTATTATTATTATGATAAAAAAAATTCAGTAATTCAGTAGGACCAGTTTATACTCGTATATATACATGCTAATAAATTTTAGTTTACATTTAATTCAAAGAGCAAGTTTTATATTTTATTTGATTGTTTGTTATTTAATTTTATTGAAATGTGAATTTAAAAAAAAAAAACAAGAAAAACAAAAACGGTTGAACAATTTGTAATTGTTCTTGCAGGTTAAAATTTTTTAAATAAATATTCTTTCTTGTTTTTCAGTCTCATACATTAAATATTTTTTTTCAAATATGTATGTATATGTACTTACAATAAGCGTGTACCTACATAGTAATTATAATGTTTTGAATTTTAAAAATTTAATATTTCAATTAGCTATATTTATTCATATTCATTCCGATAATTGTTAAATAATATTTGTTAATTATTTTTATATAGAGTTATTAAAAAAAAAATAAAGGTTTAATAACTATTTTTAAAAAATATTTTTTTTTACATAGCAAATAATATCAAACCTACATTTTACATTATATTAAAATTGGAAATGCTATTAAATTTTTAATATATTTAAAATTTAATATCGACTGCGAAAATGATTTTGACTAGCAGATTTTTACAATATATTTTTTTTTTAAATTTTAATATTGCAATAAATTTAACAAATAAGTATATGATAATCAAAACACATGCCGCAAGTGGCCTTAATTCTTTAACTTTACTTAATTCTACAAACTAAAGATGACTTAAGACTACAGCAGTAAGTCATATTTTCATTTTTCTTATAATATCTTATAATAAACTCATAATTAATAAAATAATATTTTGAGATTTATTCATTAATTCAAAATTGGTATTGCAGCTTATTTCTTATAACTTCAAGAATGATCAAAATTATTTGAGTATGATTTTTTTTTTAAATAAAATTTTATTGAATTTTTATTAATTTCATAAAATTTTCTCAATAAATTATTTTAATTTCATTTAATATTTTAAATATTGCACAATTAATTTACAATTATTTTAAAATTTATGGTTTAATCTCAATTTCTTATCCTTATCATTAATATTACTACTATTCTTAAATTGCTTTAAATGAAAGATATTAAATGAAAATATTTATATTTTACTCACAGACATCAATGATAAAGTTTATGCAAACTGTGATCACCTTCTGAAAATTAATTATTTTATTCACGTGTATCTATAATTTTATATTATATGATACAATTGCAATTGTACTTCTGTTAAATATGTAAAAGATTTTTATGATACAAGTTATCTTTACATTTAAACTTAATAATTTCAAAATTGTTAAAATAAATATGCATATAATTAAAATTACATATATTTAATTACAGTTAAGTTTATTAACTTTCTTGTGTCAATAAAACATAAAAAATAAAGATTCTTGCCCGGAAATTTATTACTTTAAATTATTAAATATATACGAGTACCTGTCTGTGTATTTATTATAAAACATATAACTATTTCTTGCAATATATGGAATATAATTTATTCCATATATTGCAATAAATAATTGGAAACGTTTGAAATTAATAAAATAAATTAAATTTATTAAACGTTATGCATTTTCTAATTTTACGAAAATTTGCATTTTCTAAAATATTTATGAGGATTAGGGTCCGATAATTAGCTTTCTTTGATGTTATTTAAAATTCTTATTCACTAATCAATTTCAATCTAATAATTTAATTTAATTCAAATCAAATGTTTTACCATATACTTTTTCGCCAAAGGTTTTCTATTTGTACATTATATTCAAAATATTTTTATGCAAGATTAAGCTACGTATATTCATTTGCATTTAAATAACTTGTACCTAATGATTTTTTTATAATCATGTTAAAATAAAAATATATACAAATTTACTAATTCTGAAAATAAGTAAACATACAAAGACCACATTGTGCGGAAATCATATTCCGGAAATGAAAATCAAACCGAAATTTTAAAGTGAATATAATGTACGTGTTTATATGTACATGCCGATTAGATCCCGAATACGTTATTTCATGAATTTAATTGTTTTTAATATTTATTTTTACATATAAGACCAGATTTAATTCAAAAAATAATTTACAATCTTATACTTAATCTATATAAACTAAAGAAAGGAAAAAAGAAAACATAAAAAGAACAAAATAGTACCTTACGGTTATCGAATCAGAAAAGAATGTCTATAATAATAAAATATAAATTTAAAAATAAATTAGGAAATATTATTATTAAAACTAGAATTCACCAGGTAATTCAAGTTACAATTATTGCACTCTCTTAAATAAATAAAATTTACATAATATTATATTGTAAGTAATGGTCAAGGAAATTCAAAACTTTTTTTTTTAACCCTATAGATTTTCACATATTAGCAATGAACTATAATTTTATTAAAATTTTAGTTATATGTATGTAGTTATACATTAAAATAAAGAACGATTAATACAATTATATAAAATCGTGCTTTACTTTTAATATAAAAAAAACTTATTTTTTATTTATTTAATTATTAAATTAACATTTAATTTAACTATTTTCTAATCAATACAAATATACTAGATAATTTAAGAAGAAAAAAACGTAACTTTTTTTCATTTTCTTTAATAAAATTATTTTAATATTTGTAAATTGAAATTAGCGAGTAGTTAAGAATTTTTTAAAGCTGAAAATTAAGGTAAGCTTTACCCAATATTCTTAAATACATACATATGAACATACTCACTTGAATTGTATTGGATATTTTTTTAAAAATAAAAACAACAAAAAAATTTACCTTAAATTTTAATTTGTTCATAGCCAAAAGTTTGTTTGTACTAAGAGGGTATAAAATACAGGTGGAAAAGCTTAATTGATCGTATTCTTTAGTACAATAATAATTCCGCAAGATTGCGCTAAATAATATTGCGGTGAAAAAAATAATAAATAAAATGCTTTGGAAAAAAAATAACAATAGAAAAATGTTTATTTAAAATTTTTTAATGGGATCAATACAAAAAAAATATTCAGAAAGAAAAAAGCTCTTATTTTTTTAAATTCTACCATGGTATATAAATATAAAGGGAGCATTTAATATTTTAGCAGTTATTTAAAAAAATTCAATTCGCGTCAATTTATTAACGCAATAAATAAATTCACTATTTTTTTTTTGTTTTTTATTCAAAATTTAATATTATTATTATAGTTTATGTAGTTTTAAATAAGTGAAAAACAAAATAAGAAATAATTAAATTTTTATTTAATAAAAAAAAAATTTCATTGAATATGAAAATTTTTGTGTGTCTAAATGATAATTAATTTGAAATTGCAAATATTTAAGGATTTGTGTTAGTTATAAATTAAAAATGAAATTAACTTGTATGTTCTTAAATTGTAATAGAATTTAAAAATATTTTTATTATAAATTATATATAAGAAATTTAAAAAGTATTAATTAAAGTATTAAAATTTATGTTATACTTAAGAATTGGAAAAAATTATTATTTTAAATTAAATTTCAATAATTAATAACAAAATTTATTCCTTTTTTTAACAAATATTTATTTTAAAAAATAAAAGGAATAAACCGTAAGAAAAACATCATTTTAAAATAATAAAATTTATTATAAATAATTTTTTTTTTATTAATAATTTTATTTAAATAATAATAATAAAAAAAAAATGGAAAATAATGAACGTTTTAAAATATCTAAAATCGAAAATGATTTTAGTACAATTAATGAAGATGAAAATACAAATGATATAAAAAATAATGTTGGAAAAACAAAAAGTTTTGGTAATTTTGGTAGAAAAATATCAAAATCAAATCAAGAAAGAAAATTTAGTTTAGCTCAATTAACAAAGTAAGTATATATAGAATTTCTAATATGTGTGTAACAAAATTTTTGTATTATAATTTTTACATTAAATTAAAATCTAATCTAAATGATTTTTATGAAATAATTAATCTATATACTTAACACGGTAATTGTGTTATAAATATATTGAATATAATTACATTACTTAGTTAACATTACAACTTTATTATATGTACTGGTATAGATGTAGGTAGATACAACTACAATATTATTATACAGTAGTAATTTGTAATATGTTTACAGAAAAATAATTCAATAAAAAATTTTTTATCAACTTTTAATATCAATTAGATGAGAGCTATTTCAATTTTGTTAAGATATTTGTTTTATAGTGTTTTGTAGTTGTATATGCGGTGTTATTTTTGAGATTAATCAAGGTAAATTTCAATTAGGTATAAAAGTTTTGAAATTTCAAATATCTTATGGATATCTCATTGGGATTAATGGCAAATAAATGCAATAAATTTGATTTTTTTTTGTTTCAATTATCAACAAGGAATATTAAAAAATTTAAAAGTAGAAAATATTTGTATTTATTTCTATAAGAACAATTGGAATTTTGTTCAACATTTTCTTATAAAATAAAAATTTTGTTTTGAAAAAATTTAGGGAAATAGCAAAATCCTTAGAGAAATTAATTTAAGCAAAACTCTCTTCTCAATATTAATAGAATTGGAGGAAATTTTGTGGTTTTTATAATTGTGGACTGATAGTACTCGTAAATAAATTGAAAGTTAGAAATTTTTAATAATTTCTAACAGAATAACTTCTTAATATTTAAGTTAACATTTTTATAACTTTTAATAAGGCAATTGGAACAACATAAATTTTGATGAGAAAAATTTTTCTCTCACTTTATAATTATTGTTTCGGCATTTGTTTAATTTGGCAAATTAAACATAGTTTTTTTTACAGACCTGTATAAACATTTAATTTACTTATAATTATGATTAAAATTGGATTTATTTTATTGTGATTAGGTCAAGGTAAAAATAATTATGCGTTTATTGTATAAATTACATGTTTAGTTAAAAATTTAATTTACTATGATTATTATTTTAATATAATCAAATATTTTAGGAATTTTAAGTGGGTAAATAGTTGGAAATCTAGTGATATTAGAATTTAAATTTAATTAAAATTAATTCCAACAGTTTAATTGTATATTTATTATTTTTAAATAAATTTTCACTTTTAATTGTCATTTGAGAAAATTCTACGTTCAGTGTTCACGACAGTTTTCACTGAAATCTCACTGACTCGAACATTGAGCGCGTAATGTTCATTATTCCCAATATTACAAAAAAAATAATTTCAAATATTTTTTTATTTTAGCTTAATTTCCTTTTTTTTTGAAGCTATTCTCGGTTCTATAGAACAATATTCCAATCATTTAAATTACTAGTCATAAAAATATTTAGTAATAAGTGTAAATGTACATAATATAATTGGCATGCTTTCATTTTATTTGATATGAAAGTTTAATGAATACATTGTCAAAAGTTAAGCATTATTAAAAATTGTCTTGACAACAATATTTGCTCAGATGTATACAATTAACTCAAAAATTTTCTTAAAAGAAAACACCTTTTTTTTTTCAATTAAAATTTATTGGTTTAATTTTTCTACTAGTTAAACAAAATTCAATTTTATTGAGTCTCGAAATTTTATCGAATATTTTATGAATTAAAATTCGGAACTATAACTAAAAGTGTGAATTATTTTATTTCTACATATGTACATATAAAGAATACATATATTATAAGAATACAAGAAATAAAAGAAAAATTTTCAAAACATTTTAAAAAATCAAAACAAAAACATTATTAATAAGTGGCATTTTATGATTTAATTAAATAATTTCTAAATTTTATATTTTGATTTGAAAAATTTTTATAATAAGCAGCAGTAGCCAATTTTATTAACATAATTATATACTCGTACGTATAGATATACGAGAATATTATTGAAATTGAATGTAGTCTTTTTCATTTTTATGAGAAAATGAAAATGTTAAAATAAATAAAATCAATTTTAAAAATGTTATTTCTTTCATTTTCCTTTCATTTCAAAAATTGAATGAAGTCTATCGTAAAATTAATTTAGTTCCAAATGTGTAAATGTATAGGTTGTTTTCCAATCATTTGTATTAATATAAAAGTACCTCCATTAAATGATGCTGAATTTGATTGAATTCTGACAACTACACAGCAAAAAGTCATCAAAGTCAGCAATTGTTTTTTGGCTGGGATGAGTTTTCTTCTTGAGAAATTATAATTAAAATTTAATTTTATTGTGCATGTTAAGTAAATATAATTTTAATAAAAACATATAATAATTGAAGGAAATTGAATCAAAGTTTTTATATTTCCTTCAAATTAAAAATATTTTTTCCAATGTTGCTTATATTCAATACTTTTTTGTAGACTTACCGGTGTTTTCAAAAAATTTTAATTGAAAATTTTTATTTTGAGTTATATTTATATACATAATACATATCAAGCAAAGGATGCGTCATATGAAGGTGTTTCTTCCATCACGTTCAAGAAGTTCAGCTTTAGAGTTGTTGGAGATGGATATGAACACGATTTTTTCCATTCCGAGTTTGTTTTCTAGACAATGTCAGTAAAACATCACCTATATAAGTTGCTCCCTCTAATTTTGTGGGAATACTAACGGAACTACCATCTGCACGGTACGGTCTGACCGAATTACTTGGAACGGGGATAGTATATAAAGGGGTGAGGGTAAGAGGGCTACAATAACTCCAGATTTTCTTAAAAAATTTATAATCTACAATATATTTACTCAATTGACATTATATATTTGCATCGTATATATTGTAGAAACACCATGTACATATTACATAGATAATATTATATCGATTCTGAATACTATGTGTATAAAATGTATGCATATTAAATCATTTTCAAATTGGTATTTACTTGTCGATCAAAATATTATTATTAGAATAGAATAAAATGATTGTTATAAGATAAAATTCTCAAAATATTTTAAAATTTTCATTTAAAATTCGCATACATACTAATATGCTCTTTCATAATTACGTAATATATATAAAGGATTTTTTCCTAAATTATAATAATCTCAAATATGTTTCATATGTATGTATGTATATAAAAATTTCAATTGCTTATTTTTTTATCATATAAACTTTATGTGATCTATATATTTGTATTCTTTAATAAATTACTATCTCGCACTCAACACTGTTTAATTTTTTTTTTTTCAAAATTCAGGTTCAATACAAAAAGTATTTGTATGAAAACAATATAGATGAAATTGGAACGATTTATTATTAAATTTATCTTTAAGTAAGACAGATATAGATTATGGTGTAAATTACTAGAACAATTATTAGAATATTTTAAAAACTGATTGAATAATAAGGTATTATATATTTGTCTTTTAATAAGAATAATAATAGTAACAAGAATTAAGAATAATAAATTATTCTTGTACTTAAAGTACACTACTTAATTGTATTTTTTAAGTATAAGTATTACAAAATACTTTAGATTAAAAATTAATTTCATAATAATTTCGATTAAATTTCTTAAGAGTATATACTTAACCTTATCTTGAATTTGAGGAAAATGTTTAAAATTGTACGTCAAAATCTATATTATAATATGATTTTAATCTGTTTATATTTTACATATTTTATATTGTTATAAATATTGTTTGTTTATAACATTTTCAATTATTATAAAACCCCTACAAAGCTATATGAAGGTGCGGGATCAAAGTAAAAAAGTAATAAATATATTTTACTATTTTTCTTATTTGTTTTAATTATAATAAAATCTAGATCTAAATTTTAAATTATATTATGAAAAAAATTTGAATTTGCTTTTAAATGGGGGGTAGTTTCGCTATACGAGAAATCGCTTTATGTTTATACTTATTCAAATGTTCCATATATAATAGAGTTAAAAGAATCGCTTAAAACATTCAGACTGCATTAATTCTAAGGTATATACTCTTATATATATCTTAGGGCACACCTTAGAAGGCTTAGCCTGGGAAGTGAAGATGTATGGAGGTTTTGCGGGCAGGATGAGGAGTTCTCGGCGCACCTTCTGAGAGAATACAGGGCCTTGCTCACATAATAGGGGAGCTACTGTTGAACTACGTGCTCACGTCGGCGGAGCTGCGGTCTACCGGCCCTTCAAAGTTGCTCGAATTCATCAGGAGGGTGGGTCTCGAGAGGGTGTTGTGTGGCTTTGTCCCGCACCCGCGGTGCACTGTTACCGCTTGTTTGAAATCTACAAGTAGTATACATATTAATTCCAAGGTTTTGTGTATGCATATCATTCCTTTGCTGCAACTGTATATGTTTAGTTCAAAAAATGCGATTCCTGAATTAGAATAAATTCAGCTTAAAAATTATATTATTAAATAATACTTTAACAAGACAACTACTTTAATCCTAAAACTTTAAAATTCGGTTTTTTCCGAATGAGCAAATTTTGAGTTATATCATTGTTACAGCAAACAAGCGACGTATTTTTATACTTACATTAATTTTCACATGTACTAGGTTGTTGTGCTTTTCTGTTCAAGTATTCATAAGAAATTAAATTCAAAAATATAAAATGTATAATACTTTGAACTGATTTAAATAATTTACTTGTATAGGAAAATTTCATTTTGCAATTGTTCTTAAATGAATCGTAAATTACACTTGTACTTAAAGTACTTAATATACTGGAGTATGAGTATATAGTATTTTTCTTGTTATACTTAAATTAATGTAAATTTTTCTAAAAAAAAAAAGTGTTATATATATTAAAATTTCTAATATATTTATAATTACATATATACTATTTTTGGTTATTAAAAATTATTTTCTAATTTAAATTAATTTAATGTTTTATTAAAATGATGTTAAATAGTGTAACGAGAATTTTTTTTTTAGAAAATCACGCAATTTTTAAAAAAAAAATATTTGAATTAGAAAA